GGGGGGGGGGCATCTATATAAAAAATACTTTAAAATTTCACTTTTTACCCATAACTAAAAAAGTTTTATTAAAAAAGCTTTAATCAATACTGCCTTTAGTGTAAGTATATCTTTGATATCATTATTCATAATTATACAATATGTATAGTTTCTATGAAAATATAAATATATTTAACCTATTGAAGCTTACACCACAGTATTAAGAGGAAGTGTCTGATGAGTTCACTTAAGAAAATTACATAAATAATACATTAACACTTGTTTTATGGAAGTGTGTATATGATCGAATAGTTTACATAGTTAAAAAAGGTATCAATATTTAAAAAAGGGGTTTTAAGGGGGGGGGACAGTGTTGCCAAGGAGGGCAAAAATGCCCCCCTTACACAAATGATCCCGTACGCCCCTGTTGCGATAATTAAAGTAATAAAACCTGCCTTATTACCAACTAATCACAAGTATCTATAACATTATCCACTGTGTTATAATAACGATATAATAATCAAACAAATAAATATATGTATTCCAAGTATTTCCATCAGGGTGTAAGGAATAGAAGGGAGATATAACTGACGCGGTTCGCCCTACCATATGATTGTACATGCTTTGCAGACGGTACTCCATTTGTATAAGATATATTTGTCTGATGTACAATTACCGCGTATACAATAACCTATTCTGAATATTTCATATGCAAATGAAGTACCCGTCTGCAAAGCATGTATAATATGGTAGGGCGAACTGCGTCAGTTATATCTCCCTTCTATTCCTTACTCCCTGATTTCTATCCAATAGAAAAAGCTAACAATCATGCAGTTTACGAGTTATTTTGATCAAATAAATCCAATAATTTGAACACAGTGTAAAGTATAAAATTAAATGAAATTGTAAGATTCTATATTCCCATAAACCACAAAACCATGCTGGAATAAAGACATTTATCTTGTCAGCAGTGTAATTGGATTCTTAAATCCTATGGTTTGTATCAGAATTAGGACTTCAAACTTTTAAAATTATTAAAGAAAACAGTGATCATTTAATTAATTATACTTTGATGAACTTAAGAAATACAGAAAAATATGATATTCATTCTTTAAAAATTGTCATTAAAAAAACGTTCAAAAATAAACAATTAATTTAAGGTTTCTTGGGACACACTGTAGATTCATTATAGCTCTTGAGTTAATTACAATATGGTGCAAACTGCAAAATTGTATTAATCTCCTCACATGACGGATATCTAATGTCTTTTTGTTATGTATTTTTACCAACAAACTCTTTCCTTAAATAACGTTTTTCTTTCTTCCAAATCCAAAACTGTAGAACTTATTGTGTTCTTTAAGTAACAGCAGGCGTGATATTTAGTGATTCTCTATAACAGCGGCATTTCTGATTCAAACCTTTATCTAACTAAACACGTTGGAAGATACAGGGTGTCCCATGAAACATGACAGTTGGTAAATAGTTTTGAATGTCGTCTTCCATTCATTGTGTTAGATATTAAAGGCTTTTAGCAGTTTATTTGGTTAAAAAAATCTATTGTTCAAATATACTTTACTTTGAAATTAATTTTAGTAATACATGACTCCTATATAATATTTTTATTATTGTCTTTTCTTATTTAACACCTTAAATAATTATAATTTTTATTATAATAACTTCGTGGGACACCCTGTATCAACATTATTCTATATCATCAAGTGTAAATTCCAACAAGTCTCTTTTATTTTGAATTAGAAATAACAATTCAAAAATAACTAATTTTTATATAGTAAAACAAGGATAACTCACTCATTTGTACATTGTACATATAAATGAAGGAAACTTGAAATAATATCTACACGACCATTAGTTCAAATGTTCATTTTAAAAACCTTAAACAATAGTAGAAAAAAGTTACTCCTGAATTTTACATTTTTCATTTTTCATTTCAGATTTGGTGTGAGAAGCTAGTTGATGTATTGGTGTGAGAAGCTAGTTGATGTATTGGTGTGATAGATAAACCATCAATCTTAAACCATGTAAGTCAGTAGCCTAGACATATTGGGTTTAAATGAACATTAGTAATTCAAGGGAACAAAATTCCAAATCGGTTGTATGCCCCAAATACAACACAAAGTGTCAAATTTGAACATAAATGTTATTTTCAACGTGTTCTGTGTCAAAAACCATTTTAATTTAATTTTAGGAATCTATTTCAGGCATATTAGAGAACATATATGAGCAAAAAAACATTTTTTATCTTTTAAAATAGCCAGGGTCTTTCTACTTTAAAATTAACTGGATGTTTTGAATAAGTAGCTCTTGAAAAAAGTGATACATAATTATTAATAAACGATTTACTAAATAAAACAAAAATAAACTTTATAATAAAAACCCAGCACACAAAGTCTAAATAAAATTTCAATATCGGAGGAGATGGTGGAAGCAAGATGTAACATCGAAAATTGCCGTAAGCTAAGAGAACCCTGTTTTCATACAAATTATTATTGAAACCTGTTTAAGTGAGTTTAACCCTCAAGATTTCATTTTCAATGAAATAAGAATATTCTACAGTGAAACCCTTAATAACGAATACATCGGAAGAATTTATCAAATGACATATCTTGACAATTTTTCAATGAGTTTTATATTTTATTTCGTAAATTTCAGTATTTGCGAAAATAAATAAATAGCCATGAATATGCGGGAACAGTTTTAAAGAGTTCCATATAATCATTTAATTAAAAAACTAAATATCTGCAACATTCCAATATCAGAAAGTGAAGAATACGACATTTGAAGAATTCTTTCGATGTATTCGTTATTAAGGGTTTCACTGTATAAATTTACAAGAAGAAAATTATCTGAGGAGTTAAAAATATCATTCATTACCTTTGCTTGTATTGGAACATTCACATTGAGGAAAAAACTTAGTTATACTAGAGCAAGTAGCATTATTGATTACCGATATCAGAGAATATTAAGTGCTAGGAATATCAAAGAAAAATTTTCCCCCAAAGAAACTAAATACATGGCAAAGTTCGATCTAAAAAACTTGTAGTTCCTAAGAACTTTAAATCAGGTTGAAAAAATAGCCCAATCAAAAAACTTAAACCTTAAAGAACTGTATTTAATTCACCAAGAAGAGATGTCTGTCTTCATCCTTTTGCAACTATATTTAAAATAATGTACAGAAATTTTCTTGATTTTAAATAAATAAATATGAATCCAGAGAAAGTTTAACACAGAAGAATAAATCTTGAGAAAATCTTAATTAGCCAATTCAAACTTGCTCAAAATAATTGGAAGAATTTTTCAATTCACAATTTCACTTGTATGTTTAAGTTTACAATTTCAAGAAAAGTTCAAGACAAAGTTGTTGAAAAGTGTCAGAAATCTTTTCCTTCTAGTTGTTAAATTGATGAAAATATATTGATATTGAAAATATAGGTTCTTATTACAAACTAATACTATAAATGTTTAGTATTATTTCATTTATCTTTCTCATTAAAGAAGTTAAAAAATTTCCTCTTCAGATTTATTTCTTCCAAAGATATATAAATAATCTTCCTTTAAAGGGAGTGACCGGCTATGTAAGGTAGTTGAACTGAGTATGCAGTGTTGTGGAAAACTGCTTTCGGATTTATTTGAGACATATTAAACTTTTGAAAGATCTGTAAATCTTGAGTTTGAGCGCAAATTCGACGTTCAAAACTCCTACTTTGGGGGTGGATACGTTTTCAGAATCGTTTTTTTTTTAAATTATTATATAACGACGACAAAGAATAAAGTAAAAATTATACAGTAATCTAATTAGATGGTTGGGAACATATTTCTCAAAAGAAATTTGTCAATAAATCAATGCTAAAATCGATTATTTCGTTTTCAATTTTATATTGAATTTCTTTTTTCTTTGAATTTATTCGCAGATTTATTCAAATTCTTCATATGTCGTCTTTCCAATAACGATTCTAGAAAATCTGCAGAAAATTCTTTGTGAATAACAAGAAACCAGAATAATGAGAACAGAGAAACTAATAATTTAACTAATTCTGATAACGTATCCACCCACAAAGTAGGAGTTTTGAACGTTGAATTTGCTCTCAAATTTAGGATTTACAGATCTTTAAAAAGTTTAATATGTCTCAAATGAATACGAAAGAAGTTTTCCACAACACTGCATACTCTGTTCAACTACCTTACATAGCCGGTCACTCCCTTTAAAAAAAATATTAATTCATTTTCTCTTTTTATTGAATTGAGAATTATAATGATTATGGCTTTAAAAAAAACGCCACTTTAAAGTTGCAATATTTATATTTCACTAATAAAACTAAAATTATGTTCGATTTTAAGGAAAATTCTAAAATGTTCATTTCTCATGAGTTCTCCAGGTTTTATAGTCCTTCTGCATATAAATAGTTACTTAGAATCTATTTAAATTCCAAGGTTCTGAGGCACATTCTTAAGATTTGTTTTGTTTTATTAAGTCATGGTTTTTAGAAAATAAAAACGGGTTATGTTCTCTTGCACCAAATAAAGCATTTGTTTCAAAAATTTAGAATATAAATGTAAATCTGTTTCCCAAACTATAGAAAAGTAAGAAAATTTATGTTGCTCCTTTGAGCATAAAGATAATACAATGCCACAATGCAATTATTCTGTTTAATGTTAGTTTATCTTTAATTAAACTGTTTAAGGGGTTTTCAAATTTTCCAAATTTATCTTCCTTAAGTAAAAATCTTAAATAATAAATATTATTTATATTTTTATTTTCATTTAATTGTTTGCAGATCTTAAAACAAAAGATGAAACATGGGACTTTACTTCTTTTAAAAATCCGGCCCCCCCCCCCAAAAAAAATTAAATGATTAAATTTTTTTAGAAGAAACTTATTGTATGCATTTAGATGTTTTCCACCAAATCAATTGTTGTTTTGATGGAGTAGGGTGTGGAATGGGTGAGGTATAAACTGTTTCTTGAATATATATCAACAAAAATCTGATATTTCTAACAGTTTTATCTAGTCCTAATTAACTCTGTATAAAAGGGCCGGAACAATTTGGATTGAATGAATGTTGGATGAAAAAGTAAAGTTAAAAGTAAAAGTTAGACGACTTTGAGCCAATTTACATCAGACCTTCTCATTTCCAGTGATGAACTTAATCTTCATCCAATGCACCAACTAGAATAATTTATTGTTAAGAAAAGGGGTTTATCCAAAAAAGTTAAACCGATGAAAATAAACTTCTTATGCATTCATCAATTTGTTCTCTAAATTAATTAAGATTTTAAATTTACTTCATGCCTAAAAACAGACCAGTATTCTAAATATAAACCATTGAATCTTTTATAATAAGAAAAACAAATAAATCTAACTAACACAAAAGAAGAATGATCAATTGAATAAAATGTATTGCATCGATTAATTTAAATCATTAACTTCTGTGGAAAATGGCATTACTGTCCGAACTAGGACAGCAAAGGTTGGCCCAGTTCGGATATTCTAATGTACACCGGGTGTGCATGCTAAACCTACTTTACATTATCATTATAAACACTTCCTTTTAATTTTGTCTAGCCTTAAATTTTTCCAACAAGAAAAGATGAACAAGACAAAAGTCTAGCAACAACTAAGTAATACAAAGCAAACTTAATTCTATACAATTTTTTACATAGTTGAGAAAAGTTTAAAGGGATATAGAACTTTAGACAAAAGGAATAAGACTTTTTTCTAAAGAAGTCATCTTAAGTTATCAGACAAAATAAAATTTTAAATGAAAATGTTTTTTTTACCGGAATCAATGTTGAATGCAGTCAGGGTTTTAACACAATAACAACGAATGCATAAATGCATAATACTCACTAAAAAGTTAGATTTTTTCCTTATTGCCTGTCCACTGGTCCAGTGTCCATGTCTGTTAAATAGTGTTTATATGTTACAATAAAATTTGATTTCCTTCAATTCGTATTAAAAGAAATAACAATTTTATTACCAACAACCAAAAAACAAAATGTAAGTTATTTTTATTATCATTACAGAACAACTCTTAGTTCAGTCATTCTACTGCTTTTATCAGGGAGTATTTTTTGTGTTCTAAAAATGTTTAAGGATGTTGTTGAAAGTTTTTTTTTCACTAAAGCTACAAAAATGATTGCCACACATAAAACATGAAAAGCATGCATAACTGAAGGTTTAAAATGAGGGGTGCATATTTTCACGAAAATATCAACCCTTCAAAATATCTATTTTCCATTTAGTGGATAAAGATGAACTAGGATATTTTCCTAATTTGACAGAAAGTTGTCCATTCAATTATTGTCTCCACAATCCCATCCATTATTCTTTCTAATGAATCTTTTGTGATCATATTACACAGTTCTTTCAAGGATATCTATTCCTAATTTACAGATATTAATCTAAAGAAAATGATTTACTCTTGTACATATGTGACATATTATCTAAAGATGTTCATCAACATTCTCTGATGATACATCTATAAGAAAAGTAAAAGAAAAATTCTTCTAAAAACAGATGAAAAAGATAGACCAAGAAAATCGAATTAACATAACCACAAACTTACCTTTAAGTCATCTTGTTCTTGACATTTAGTCGAATTTGCTGGAGGCTCATGTTTCAGACTCTGAAAATTTATCTAAATCTCTTTCTGGGAAAAGTCGTGGAAAAAGTTTATATTTACTTCTTTTTCATTTTGTAAAATCCAATAGAAACGTTTAAGATAAGAACAAGAAAATTAGTATCCTTGCCAAATCAGCCCATTTGCCAAGTTAACCACCCTATCCACGCCTTTCTTCTTACTGTACCCACACCAACATTTTATCTTAATTTGTAAATAGAATCAATTGTTTGGGATATAATAGAGTGGAAAAAATTTAGTAAAAAAAATTCAAATAAGAAATATAAAAAAGTGCTAAAATTAATTAAAACAGGAGATGTATCTTGCCCTTGAAAATAAAGTGTCTCATCCATGCAATATGATATCTCTGAAAGTTATATTTGACCAACCATGATAAAAGATAACATAACAAGTTGATTGGACGTTTTTGTTTGTCAATTTTAGAAAAAAAAATCCATTCTCCACCCTTTGAGTTTTTTTAACGGAAATTCACAGGGCATATACGGGAACAAATGGTTAGAAATATTTTTTCTCAAAAAGATAAGTAACATTATTAACAATCTGTTTTGCACGAGGGGCTTCTTATCTTTTTTATAATTTAACAAAAACTTCATGCTAAAATAATTTTTTTGTCGTGAATTCCATGTTGCCATTTTTTATTTACGGTTGAAGGTTTACAGAGTAATCCTTGAGCTAAAGGTGTATTGTTAGTTTTCATTAATTATTTCATAGTAGGCTTAACATGGTCAGAACCTTATCCATTCATTCAAATTCATAATTCTATTTGAATACTAACCTTCTCAAACCAAGAATAGAATTCTCTAGGTTCCCTTTAACTTCTCTATCTAGTTGATAAATAATCCAGTTTTAGAAGAAAGGCCTGATTAAGGGTGGCATGCCCCTCCCTTAAGAAGGCTTCCCCCCCCTGTAGGGGGGCAAGAGCCAAGAAGTCCACCCTGTTTTGCTATTTAGCGATTCAGGAATCCTGACTCTGAACAAATTTTAGAGCTAGCAGATCGTAAAATAAAAAGTAATAATTGAACATAAGTTTATTGAGCTTTTAGTTCAATCGATATTCTGTAGTACAACTATTAAATTAATCCTACATGTTCACCGCAAATATTGTGTGATGTGTCATATTAAAAAACATATTTTTCATGTAAAATCATGGTTTTTAATGAAAGGCATTTCTTGTCAGTGTTATTATTTTTTGGATATAAACACATTTTTCTGCCCCCCTCCCAGCTAGAAATGTTTTGTGGGGTTCAAAAAAATTTTCGCGCTTTGCGCCAAATATTTCCTTCTTGCCTCCTTCTAACAAAATGTCTAGTTGCGCGCCTGATGCTGAGGTTTGCTTACCTAACCAAACAATTCTTGAAAATATTCAGATGAAAACTATGGTTTTATATTAATATAAGTTATGTAAAAACTCTGGTTTTATATAAATATAAGTTATGTAAAAACTCTGACAGCATTGATATACGGCAAAACTATTAAACCATAATATTCCCATTGAAATAAATTTTTGCAGAAATAAAATCTTAAATTCTTTAAACATTTGGAGAGCCATTTGAAAGCCTACAGAGCTGAAATATTAAAAAAAAAGATAAAATGTTTTCTTATGGTTTTACTGTGTTTTCTATACTATGGTATTACCTACTTCTAAAGAATTTCTCTCTAATTAGACTAAACACTGTGTTCACAATATCCAAAGTTCAAAATCAAATCTATGTAAAAGCTAGCACGGGAACCCTGCTCTGCTTGAAATCTAAACTTTTTAAATCACCCCACTTAACTTAAAATTTTTAACTGATTTAAATATATTCCCAAGATCCTGCCAAGTTCTCCAATCAAATCTGTGGCAAATTGGTGGAGGGGTTCCTGCGTTATGATCGGGCATAAAAACAAACAGAGATTACTGCTTAATATATATAGATGCTCCAATAGCAATCCAATCTATATAGACAAAAGGAAACATTTTTTAAATGTTACGAAAATGAATTTATGATCTCGTTTCGCTTTTTGTTTGTTTAATCCAAGTATTTTTTTACTGGCTTGGGAATCTAGCTTTGCCTACAAGACAGACAGAAATACAGAGATTTAGACGTTATATCTTTATAGCTTTAGATATATATATTTCTCTATCCAACTATCCATCTATCTGCTATTTTAATGTATCCCGGAGAGAGGACGGATGAAAACTATACCGGGAGAAGTATCCTGGGACTTCATGGAGAATTCTGGGCCTAGGACCCAAAACCTCCCATGACGGAGACACCAACCCCACCCATTATAAAAATTACTTTTCTTACTACAAAACCATAAATTAATTTATTTCACTTTTAAACTCTTGGTAACCAACAAATCTAAACGTTGAATGTAATAAATCTTTTTAGAGATATTTTAAATCAATCTGTCCTTCTTTAGTGATACTTAGGTTTTTGAGTAAATCAATAAAAATATATAAAAATATATTAACTTTTTTAGAACCACGATTCTATTGTTTCCGATAAACAGGATAACCCGGCCCGGTAATAACGGTTCAATAAAAAAATTAATTAAAAAATTTGAAGATCTTAAAATCTTAAAATCAACTAAGGAATCGATATAAAATTGTGAAAAAATGTTAAAACTTGGAAAGTTGAAATTTGTAAAAAAAAAAGTTATTATGATTAACTCAATAAATAGCTAAAATACAAATTAAAGCTTCTTTGCAAAAGAACATATTCAATGTTCGCCCATGCTCTAGCAAGACAAGATTTTTGAATTAGGGATGGGAAATATGTGAGGTTACATGAAAATAGTAGAAAATGATGAATTGGCGCGATCGACTTTCAAACATTAGTTCACCTAATTCAGGTTTTATATACATTTTCCTTTTTACCCCATTCTTATCTATGAATAAGATATTTTTAGTATTTTCTATTTGTCATCAAAACTTTATAAAGTTTATTAATGGAGATACAGACTGGACAGTGGACATACTGTCTCAAGTTGATTTCGCGAGAGAATTCGCAAAACATTCTGTATTTTTCGCTACAATACATATATTCTTACAATCTCCAGTCTAGTCTACAATTTACAGTATCCAGTCTCCAGTCCACACTTTACAGTCTCCAGTCCACAATTTACAGTCTCCAGTCTACACTTTACAGTCATAGTCTACAATTTACAGTATCCAGTCTCCAGTCCACAATTTACAGTCTCCAGTCTACATTTTACAGTTTCCAATCTACACGTTACTGTCTCCAGTCTACACTTCACAGTCTCCAGTTTACACTTTACTGTCTCCAGTCTACACTTCACTGTCTCCAGTCTACACTTTACAGTCTCCAGTCTACACTTTACTGTCTCCAGTCAACACTTTACAGTCTCCAGTCTACACTTTAGTCTCCAGTCTACACTTTACAGTCTCCAGTCTACACTTTACTGTCTCAAGTCTACACTTTACAGTCTCCAGTTTACCGTCTACGGTGGAAATTGTAAAATATAAAAAAATCGTTAAAGAAGACATTTAATACTAGTGATAAAGTTTCAGACTTGAGAGAATAAATGCATCTATCGATGGAAAAAGATTCCGTAGAACTGTTCAAAAATAAATTTATAAAAAAAAATTTCCAAAACCTGTAAAACAAAATAGACAGATGAAATGGAATACAGAAATAACCATAAAAATATGGAACGATAAAAATTGCGAGATTTCTAAGAATTTTGTGATTTGTAATTATATTTATATTTTGTGATTTGTAATTATATTTATACTTATACTTAAACTAGCTATCACAATAAATGCTTAAAAATGAAAAAAAAAAAATTATAACTTTTTTAAGGTTTAAAAATACGAATTCTCTATATCTCTATAGGAAATAAGTTCATAAAACTGCATATAAAATATAAAAAATGTTCTCCAGTTCTAGAACATGCTTTCTCTATTATCTGGACCTAGAATTGGATTTATCCATCCCACCTTGTGAGGAGAATGTGAACCCAATTTTTCTTCCATTGAGATCTACAAACAGAGTCATCAAGCTGTCCAGTAGACAGAATATACAGACTAGGTCATCGATTCATCTCATTCAGGGATATACGCAGTACAAGGGATAGATCGTTTTCACTTTTTAAAAAAACGATTGTTTAAAAACAAAAAAAGGCAACGGTCGTTTCAATATCAAGTTTTTACATCATTAAGGATTAGAAAATTTAAGTGTTTAGCAGAGACTTAATTACGAGTCCCTTTACAAATTAAGTCTACAGTCTCTTAAATACAAGTTTTGTTATGACAACAGCTATATTTTGGGTTAAATCTTATAAAAACCCGCCTAGACCCCAGCCCCTCTCCTTTTATAAAAAAGGTTGTCACGCAAATCTGCCCCTTCAGTAAAAGTAAATTCAGTCTATATGAAGCATAAAGTCTGGCTGCGTCAACCTTGTTGCACCGGCTAGTCCTGTCCGTAGAACTAGGTACAGTACACACTGGGACCGGAAAGGGTGACCCGGCTCGGAAATTCAAATGTACTACGGCTGCCCGTGATGTATCCCAAACTGCTATAGTGTGTGTACTGTGTATAATAATATCTACACATGGAAGGGGCAAGAGGTCCAAAATTCTCTTATTTGAACCCTATAGTTTTGCTTTCCGCTAAAAATACCGTGGCTGATTTTGAGGCATATTGATAAGATATTAAAATATTTTAGATTTTAAAGAAATAAATATGTTTAATGTTGTCCAGGCACGGTATCACAATACAACTGATGACGGCAAGATTTTAAGATTGATTAAATTATGTACGTTTTATCTAGGTGGAGTTGGATATTGGGATTAGAAGTTATATATATATTGGGGATATCAGTAATCAGTAAACTAAACAATAATTAGTTCAGATACCCTTTATGTATCAAATGTAGTTTGCAATTATATAAATGTCCGTAAGTACATAACTAGAGATCCATGCTTGGTATTTATTTGTTAATTGTCCGCTGTTGGCAGCTGGCACCCCTTGGCAGAATTAATTGAGCAGAATTAGAATATTACGTAATTCATAGAGAAGAATGTAGGAAATCAACTGCCAGAATACCTAATACATTAACCAAGGTTGGGGATTCTTTAATGCACTACTCGGCTACAAAATAATTAAGATATCCAACTTGTTATTCAAAACAAAACAAGAATGTTATGAAAATAAAGATATATCTTGATGAAGAAATAACAATGATAACTTTCAGTTATTTCTTCTTAACAGAAGGAGATAAAATTCTCCTTTGAATATAAAGGAAACTGTTTATAATAAACAGAACATTAAAACAATTATGGATGCCTATTGTTTGTATTCAAGACCTAAACTGCATGCAACGCACTAAGCTCCAATACAAAATCTGACACTGGTTGATCAAGAAGCTGTTAAACGGAACCCCGTTATACAAGTCTAACTGGTTAAAATTATATTTCCCTCTTCCTTCAGAATCAGGAGAAAATGGGATGCTGAAATATTTTATATAAAAAATAAATCTTTACGGCTAAAAGCAAATAAAATTTTTCGTTGAAATACATAAATATGCACTATGCAGTGCAGTCTATTGAGTTATAATCTCAAGTTATAAATAATGCCATCTAGTGAATTTAGAGTAAATCCATTTTTAAGAATTTTAAGTCCAAATCAAACGTAACTGTAGTTTCAAGAGTCAATTACACTTTTTCTGCGTCTTGTTGATATTATTTTTCAACTATTAATGGCAGGATTCCCAAATGTTGTCAATTTTCCTGCACAATTATAAGACATGAGGCCGAATTTAAAGAATTTAAAGAATTTAAAATTGTGTTCAATGCTTCAAGATTTAAGCCGGCCCTGAGTTGAAACCAGTTTTTTGCGGATTTAAGACACGGCTCAAATTCATCAACTTCGGACAATGTTTTAGCAAAAAAGTCAAAGCCCTGTGTGAGCGGTATGACTAGTGCTTAAGAGTCTTTTTGAAGAAAAAATAGAAAGACTTGAACAAAAAAACTGTTTCATGCCATATCTAGACAGTCAGGCAGTTGACTTAGGGCTTAATTTTTTGCTAATTATCTCTTATGACTGTTAAAGAAAGTTACAAGATATCTTTATACCAACCATAAAAATAATATCTTGAATTTAGACCTGTAATTGCGCTTATTTCTGAGATTTCTTAAAAATGAATTTGCTTGAAAACCCATTTTCTGAAACATCTGATTATACTTCGTAGTCTGCATATTAGTATATTGCAAAGAAAAAAATTAAGCGTTTCGACTTGAAACCTGATGGTTCATTTTCAGCAGTGTGTATTAATCTCCAAGACTTAACGAGATTAAGTTTTCGAATCCACAGCCAAAAACTTATAAGTGAAATTGTAACTTCTCGAAACGGTGATTATAATGTGGATTTATGGTACAGCAATATTAATCGTTGAACCGTCAAGAGAAAACCAAATCCTAGCACACTAAAGTCGCAGTTTTGTCCTCGGAGCTCCAACATTTTATCTAATTTTCTCGCAACAAAATATTGAAAATAAGTGGCAAAATATATTTAATGGTTGTTTGCAAACTATTAATCTTTCAGTTTAACAATCTCCGTACACGGGGTGGGTGGGTGATATATTAAAATATTAAAGTTACATGTCTCTTTACATCATGGGAAAGAAGCGTTTCGTATTAAGTAATAAGGGAAATGACACAAAAATCTCAAGCGATTAATGAGATGAATTGACAGAAGTTAAATAGAGATTTTATCTTGAAAAACAAAAAAACAAGAACGGTGTTAAAGCAAAAAATCAACCAAGTTTAAAAAATCTACAATATTTTATTCGAAATATAGCACTAAGTCAGCTTTTCAAGCCAGGCTAACTGTTTCAAGGCATCTTGTTTGTTTTCACAGAAAAAGAACAAATGTTCAAAATATATCACCGTAATGTACAAAATTCAGTGTACACATAAAAAAATTCGGCAAAATAAAAAAGTTATAACATTTGTCCCAAATATAATTGTTTTAATAGTATTAAGTTGTACAACAAATTGAATTCATATGCTAGTTGGAATAATTTCAGGGAATAATTATAAAATAAATCAATTTCTTTCGCTTAACCCATCCCCAAGAAAAACTTTTTTTTCCCAAATGGGTTAAAACCTTTTTTTGTGGTTAGCGGATTAATTCTTGAAAAATTATTCCCCAGCATAACTGGAGAAAAAAGAGACATAATATCACTAAAAAACTTAATTCAGTCTGCGTGTTGTTGTTCCAATAAACGAGGAAACTTTGTTTGGATTTTATTTGTTAAATCTGTTAAACTGTAAATTCTGATTTAATAGATCAGATTCTAGGAAACCAGAGGCCGAATTTAAAGAATTTAAGCCGTGGCTTAAATTTGAGTCGCGGCTCAAATATGGTTGGTTCCACTTAAAATTGTCTTTAATGTCGGCTCTTAACTGAAACCGTTTTTGGCGGATTTCATACGCGGCTAAAATTTATAAATTCGGACACAGGTCCTGGAAGTGATATGCTTGACGGGAGACACGATAGTCTACATAATATCTGAGTGGTTATCCCTCCCGTTCATCCCGTCCCTGTCCAGCAGATGCCCGGGTAGTTTAGCTATAGCGTGCATCAACTTCAACTCCTGAACACAAACCAGATTTATTCCCAGATCAAGATTAATATTAGATCCTTCTTTTCATACACCAATGGAAACCAGATCATTCAATTAAATAAGAATTAATACCAGAGATTCCGCATGAAACAGAATTTACACCAAAACAAGCTTAATACCAGATCCACAAATAACTAAGGATTAATACCAGCTCTTTTAAATAGATCAATGCATATACCAGATCCCTATCACAAAACAGAATTAGTACCAGATCCTTTACATAAATAAGATTTAAAACCAGAACAACTGAAAATTAATAAAAGACCTATGCATATTGATTATCAACTGAGGGTTAAAAAATTACATTACACAAAATCATCAAATATTATGTCTTTAATACCCTAAAAATATTTTCAGGGAAAGGAAAAATATTCTTTAAAATTGTTTACCATGGCACTTTGAAATTTGGATGCAATATTTAGGTGCTTTCTCAATTGATTTTACACTTACTCTTAATTAGTTCCAATCGCTATAAGTCAAGAAAAATTAAATACCTGAGAGTTATGAACGACGTCAGCGTGCTTCTTCTTGTGATGGATAAAACTGCTGCTGTCAGGACCTAGAAAATGATTTATAATATGCATAAAAAAATTAAAACTAATTTCTGGAAAAGGGAAACAAATGTTTTTGGAGATTGGAACGGGGGGGGGTAATAACTAGAATAGAATAAATTAATTACAGAAAAATTATTATTTAAATTGTGAAACGATCGAATGAGTGTATCAGCAGTATCAAAATAGTCATTGGACGAGTTAATAAGTTCATTCACTGGTATCTATATGACAAAACAAGTGAAAAAGTGAATGAATGAATAGTGTATTGACTAAAGGAAAGGATGAATAAATTGATGAAAGGATGTATGAATAGAAGAATGAACAAATGAATGAACCTGTCCAGTTGCATTTATCACATTTGTACGGATGTTCTCCAGTATGCCTTCTCCTGTGATTTATCAGGTTGTCAGATCTCTGCAAAATATTTTAAATTAATACAGTTAAATGATAAAATTAACTTAAATTTAATTATTAATCTCTTCGTATTCATATCTATTTGTGGCGCAAAACATAAATTCTTTTTGGACATCTGCAAACATTGACAAATCAGAAGCCCAGACCAATCTGTTCTTGGCAGCTAACTAACTAACTAACCTTGAATTTTTTGGACATCTGCAAACATTGACAAATCTGTTCTTGGCAGCTAACTAACTAACTAACTAACTAACTAACTAACTAACTAACCTTGAATTTTTTTCCACAGAAGTCACAAGTATGGCCGAACTCAGGTTTATGAACAAGCTGATGCTTTTTCAAGGAGTGCTTCAGCTTAAACGTCATTCCGCAATCCTGCAAAATTTAAATATTAAAAATCTCTTCGTTAAAATGTATTGAACAATCATCAATTGAAAAATTACTAAAAATTGGTATTTAATCTATTTGTCAACCAACCAATTCAAATATCGGAGGCAAAGTAATTAATCAATCATCAAACTAACTAATCAACCAACTGACAAATCAAAAAACCAATTCATATAGCGGAGGCAAAGTAACAAATCAATCATCAAACTAACTAATCAACCAACTGACAAATCAAAAAACCAATTCATATAGCGGAGGCAAAGTAATCCATCAATCATCAAACTAACTAATCAACCAACTGACAAATCAAACAACCAATTCATATAGCGGAGGCAAAGTAATTAATCAATCATCAAACTAACTAATCAACCAACTGACAAATCAAACAACCAATTCATATAGCGGAGGCAAAGTAATCAATCAATCATCAAACTAACTAATCAACCAACTGACAAATCAAACAACCAATTCATATAGCGGAGGCAAAGTAACAAATCAATCATCAAACTAACTAATCAACCAACTGACAAATCAAAAAACCAATTCATATAGCGGAGGCAAAGTAATCAATCAATCATCAAACTAACTAATCAACCAACTGACAAATCAAACAACCAATTCATATAGCGGAGGGAAAGTAATCAATCATCAAACTAACTAATCAACCAACTGACAAATCAAACAACCAATTCATATAGCGGAGGGAAAGTAATCCATCGATCATCAGACTAACTAATCAACCAACTAAAAAATCAAACAACTAATCAGAAAATTAAGTTACATAATGTATTACATTAAATTGACTTACCTCACAAGCAAAGTCTCTTACATTAGAATGAACCTATAAAATGATGTATATTTTGTATCTGAGAACGAGAATGGAGATTTGACCGGACGTAAGGGACGTAAGGGTTAACCCAAAAAGGATGAGAGTCGACGGAATTTCTGTCCGTTTTCTTAAGTTCATGATTTCCTGCAGCTGTAAATATGTTTCCCTCTTCTCCAAATTATCTAATAAGCTATTAAATACTATTTTAAAGGCAGACATCTCTATCAAATCAAATCAAATCAAATCAAATCAAATCAAATCAAATCAAATCAAACCAAACCAAACCAAACCAAACCATGAGTTTTGGGGAAAGCTTTAAACTCCATTTCTCAGCCTGGAATTTCAAGTCCCGAATGAGTAGTGGGTTTTTAACCCGGATATGAATTCAATTTTGACATTAAACAAAGTATCCTGTTAAAGGTTAAATTTCAAACCTTTGTATCGCACCATTTAAAATGTTTTCATGTCGTATTTACAATCTCATCCTATGTGGTTAAACCGGCCAGTGGCCGAATTTAAAGAATTTGAGCGGCGGTTTAAATTTAAGCCGCGCGCGGTTTAAATATGGTTGGTTCCACTTAAAAGTGTATCAAATGTTTCAAGATTTCAGCCGGCGCTTACTTTAAACCGGGTTTTAGCGGATTTAAACCTCGGCTCAAATTCTTTAAATTCCATCCCTGTATAATCTTTTATTTATTTATTAGTTATCGATACGTTAATATACAACTGCCTTGAGATGAGTATGGTAGGCGGATATTTGGTTAAACGTTTTCCCGCATTCCTCACAGCACCTGAATAATGTTCACCAATATATCGGAAAGTATTTTAAACAAATATATTTGACATCAGAAACGTGTCTTAAAAAACTGTAGACGTAATTTTAAATAAAATTTAAGATTCAATCAGAAAAAAAATGTTGATAGTAAAATAATTATCTATTCTTTATTACTATTCATATAAAGGCTTGAAGAGTACGGTTGTGAAGCGGACAAGCACTGCTTTCAATCGTGAATTGAAATTATATCTACAGTCTTTATACTTTATACTTACCCGCCATATCCACCAATACCATGAGACTGCATGTGTAGCTTCACACACTGTCGGGTTTTAAATCGTTTTCCGCATTGATCACAACCGTAAGGTCTCTCCTGTTTCGAAAACCCTCATCTTTGCGATTTTTAAAGTTATGACATTCCTTCCTTGATGCAAACATAACTGTAAATGCGTGGAAACTAATGGAGAATATAATCTCCAGACTAAAAAAGGGGCGAATTTTGGAAAAAGGCGATCTTTGATTTTGATCAGAAAGTAATGAGTATTTTGAAAATCTAATCCAATACGAATTTCTAATGTCTCAACCTACGTAGCAAAGTCTGGTGACTGTGCATTGTGCAAGATGTCCAAGTTTAAAGTGGATTTTTGAAAATAATACTTAAACCTCTTTTGAAATAAATGGACGCTCCTTGGATATTACTTTGAGACTTTACTTACCAACTATATCCTCCAATACCATGGGAACGAAGATGAACGTTGACACAATGCCGCGTCTTAAACCTTTTCCCACACTGATCACACCCAAACGGTCTCTCCTGGGAAGTAAAACCTCATCTTAGCTAAACTTTAGGAATAAATTAAACACTTGTATTATGGGAAAATTTCTCCGTGAAGGTTTTAGATTTTACAAGGCTTTACTTACCAGGAGAAATGACAGCCTGACGGAACGATATCAAAAATTGATAAAAAACTGAGAATTATTTAAACCGAAACCTGACCTATTCTTACTTTACCTTATGCAAGTTAGAGAACCAAACCTTAAATACCGAGTTGACGCATAAATAGACAAACACACTTCATTTATTACAAATAATTTTAGTTCTATCGCAATTTAGAACAGGTAACAGACATTTTCAACATTTCGATCAAATCAGATCAAATCAAATCAAATCAAATCAAATCAAATCAAATCAAATCAAATCAAATCAAATCAAATCATATCATATCATATCATATCATATCATATCATATCATATCATATCATATCATATCATATCATATCATATCAAATCATATCATATCAAATCAAATCAAATCAAATCAAATCAAATCTTATCATATCATATCAAATCAAATCATATCATATCATATCATATCATATCATATCATATCATATCACATCACATCACATCACATCACACCACATCACATCAAATCAAATCAAATCAAATCAANACGTCACCACATTATATACATCCACTCCCCTCAACCAATATTCCCCACAATTATCCATTATTTGATACAGCTCTTTAGTTTAATTGGTATATTGATGCGTTATTTGTCATGAAGTTTATGATTTTCATATTTTCACTGTTATAATTCTATCATGATACTTTGATTGTAGGTTGATTGGTAATCATAATAATAATAATAATCAAGGTGAAAAGAAAAATCAATAAAACCCAATAGTATGCGGGTTTTCCAAAACAGGAAAACAAGTCAGGAAAAGGTGCATGTAGAAGAAGAACAGAACAATAATGCTAACCCGGAAGAAAGGACGGACATGTCTAATATCTATTGAATCTATTTTATATAATTAAATGCTAGATGAAGGTTTTACTCTCCTGTGTGTGTTTAAAGAGAACGTGAAGCTCCATATGCCTTTTCCGGTTAAACTCCCTAAAATAATCATTTAATCAATCCATCAATAAATTCTTCAATCAATTAAAAAATCCTCAAATCAATCAATCAATAAAACCTTCAATAAATCAATAAATAATCCATAAATCCATCAATCAATTAAAAAATGGCGCACAGTAACATAAACAATGACAAGAGCATATAGAGGGGAAGGGATTGAGTAAATGAGTAACAAAGCTCCCTACCTTGGACAGTGGGGACAGTTGTAGTTGACCGGTAGGCAGCGCTTCCCTCCCCGGCCGCCAGGGTTATTCTGATGATGCTGCTCAAGTTTTATAGGATCTAAATTAAATCCAAATATTCATTTAAATCTTTATTTTTACTTCACAGAAAAATCTAAATTAATAATCAGGTTTTTTCTTCTGTTTTGATTATTTTAAGGCATTATAAAAGTTTGAGGGAAAATCCGAAAAAATGTTTCTTTGATTTTAATTAGTACTACGTTAAAAGACAATCCGCCATTTGATGAAAAAAAAAACATTTGAATATTCTTAAAGCTTTATAAATCAGGGAATAATTTTCTTGAATAAGGAGAGGAAACATTAATTGGTGATTAATAAACAAATACAAAATGGAAGTTTACTAAACCACTTTCCTTAATATTGATTTTGCTTTACTTTACGATATATTTTTATTTTCATAGTCATTTGAAATAAAATGATAAATGGACTGGTGGAATTGAATTAAAAACTACTTGACAAACGATCAGACCTGAGAAGTTTCTACCGCAGAGTTCACAGATCCAGCATTCGTCCGGATGTTCAATTCTCACGTGGTTCTCAAATATTTTCCTTTCCGGGTTAGTGTACTCACACCCAGTCACCTTGCACACATAAACCCTGCACATTGAGTTCGAAAATTATTTCTGCGAACAAAATCAAGAAAATCTTTGATTTTTTCTGCTTGCTTCAAACCCCAAAGTTTTAAATTTAAAATCTGAAAAACGAACATCTTCCCATTTCTACTTACACAAATCCTCCACGTGGTTTCTCATTGTGAACATCCTTCTTATGCTTGTTGTAATCCTTGTGGTTGATGAAGTTAATATTGCACTTAGCACACCTTAACACAATCAAATCAAATAATGTGAATTTATATACAGGGTGTCCCACGAAACATGACAGTATACAAGACGACTTGAATGTCGTCTTGATTTTTATATAATTTGCTGCATTTATTTGTCAACCTAATTTTAAAAGTAAATTTCTAGAGATAATAATCACAAAATTTCCCTTGTCCTGCCATTTCCAAAATGTGGTTTGCATTTTTTGTGCTTTCAACATTACTCGAGATATGAAGATTTTTGTTCCGATTTAGAGAATTTTGCTTTTATTTAACAAAATTGAAATCTGAACCAAACTCTTTATATCTCCGGTAATATTGAAAGCACAAAAAACGCAGACCACTATTTGGAAAGCCAGGGCTAGGAGAATTATGTGATAATTGTTTCAAGAATCATACATGTTAAAGTAGATAGAAGACTAAATGTCACAAATAAATTCAAATATCAAAGACGACTTTCAAGACGTCTTGCTATTGTCATGTTTCGTGGGACACCCTGTATGTTTATTGTTTATGATTGTATTAACGTCTTAATAAAAAAAGAACACAAAAAATATGTGTTTCGGGTGACTTATTTATTGAAAAATCCAATAAAAGGCAAATTTTTGTGTAATCTTTAAGTTACAAGAATGATCTCCTTTATGGCTGATTCTTGAAATCAACAAAAGTAAATAATTTTATGTGAGCATCTGAAGCACGGAAAATAATAATGTGAAGAATTATATACCTGTACATTGTCCCGGCTGTTATGGGTTTATGTGCTCTATTCTCGTGAGTCTCCCTGTTCTTGTCGGAGAAGAAGGTTAGAGGACAGGAACTATTAGAGCATGGACGTTTACCTGGACAGATAATATCAATCAATCAATCAATCAATCAATCAATCACGTACATTTAATTGATAAATCAACTGGAATATTAATAGTATCAGACTGGACAAATATTGTTAAAACAAGATAATAAATCATAATTNCCGGCGCATGATTGTTTTAAGATCAAATAATTCTTTTAAATTAAATGTGATACTATGATGTTACCTTCATGGCTAGTGTTGGTTTTACATTCTCTAGCTGCAGCATGCTTAGTATAGTTAGTCAGGTTATACCAGCCTACAATATTCAACATGAGGTCAGAACTTGTGTTATAAATCTCGGGATCAAGTATTGATCTCAATCTTATGCAGACCTAAAGACTAGAGATTTATTTATTCAATTCCTCTTGAATATCCAATGGTAATCGTACCCTGCAGGGATAACTGCAATGAAGGGATCAATCATTTATCCTCAAATTAGTTTAAGTGCCCAAATCGAAAATCAAGATCATGGGTTTAAGATTAATAATATCCACAATCACGTAGCACTTTATTTTTCCATGACATTTCTCTCAGAATGAGATATTTGCAATGAAATATTACTAAATTTAAAATTCAAAAACACTAAATGAGAGAAAAATCTTAATCACGCCATTTGGCAAGATTATACAAATATAGTGTGTGTTCTTTATGAAATAGTCCCCTATTGTTTAAGACATTGAAACACACGTTTTTTGTTCAAAACTTCCCATATTTGAGTATTGCTTTAACTCCAGAATAGGTACAGATTACTCAAAACTTGTATTTTCAGATTTCATATGCTAGATTTTTATGTTTTCATCTTTCTATTAAGTCACGAAAATCATACATTACAGCTTTGAACAATCAAATCAGATCAGAAGTTTTTAGGGATTGTTGTAGATGTAGGTTCTCAGAAATATCAGTTCAGTACACATATAAACTAACCTGCCCCGCAGTTTTCACAAACGTACGGTACAACATTGTTGGGTGCGCGGCATTCGTTCGAGTCTATATGTTTCCTGGAAACCATTAACAACCATTAACATATCTCATGTAAATTAGAGATTGCGTCTCTTTGCTTTCCTTTAGACAACTAATGAAAAAATAATCTAAAATCCTAAACTCTTTTTTATTATCAATGGTTTGATTATGTTCCTGTAATGAATCTGATTAACCCAGCTTTCTCCACAATTATTACAACCCAGCAGAGCTTCCTAAACATCAAGCTTTTTAACAAGAAGATATTTTTATTTAAACTAAGACTGGAAAAATCTAAAACCGTTTATTTGAATTGTTGCTCCATAATCTAAAATGGACACCAATATTATGATGGGGGAAAAAATTTTATTCAAAGATTTTTCCATTATTTCATTATTTCCTAGTTTTCTCTAAAATCTATTTAATTTCAGCACAATCCGCCCCTTTCAGTTCGCTTCATGTAAACCCTTCCATCACATTTAAACAAAAAGACATTTTGGAGGGAGAAGACATTGATTTTACAGAGAATATTTAATTTCTTGTGGGCATTCTAACCTGATAACCATGAAGGTTCTGATGAGTAAACTTATGATGTTGATGAATACTTGGACGGACCATGGTTTTGAAAGCACATCCCTCTTCCTAAAAAACAAATCAACATTAAATTAAAAAGATCTAAAGTTTGTTCGATTTTTTTTAAAAGATAACTAAAATTACAAGAGTTAGCGAAATATTGCCCTTAACACTTCTGGTAAAATTTTTAAGTTAGCTATGACCCCAAAAGAGGAGAAACTTAAATTATCCAAATCTTGCTTTGGACATTTTCGGTTTGCTACTGGACCAAAACAGCGCACTGGGAAAAAAAGCGACTTTTCGTTACCTATTTTCTCAAGTAAAACGTTGAGAGAATTAAATGTTTCTATAATAAATCAATATTAAACCTGGCAATGGTAGAATCCTATGTGATCCTGCGCAAACTTTATCTCTGCATTCCGGGTAACTTGGGTCTGAAAATAAGGTTATATTCCGGGTAACTTGGGTCTGAAAATAAGGTTATATTCCGGGTACCTTGGGTCTGAAAATAGGGTTATATTCCGGGTAACATGAGACTAAAAATAAGGTTTTATTCCGGGTAAAACGGGTCTAAAAATAACGCTATATTCCGGGTAGCTTGGGTCTAAAAATAAGGTTATATTCCGGGTAGCTTGGGTCTAAAATAAGCTTACATCCCGGGTAACTTAGGTCTAAAAATAAGGATACATTCAGGGTAACTGGGGTCTAAAAATAAGGTTATATTCCAGGCCGCATAATCACACAAATTGCGGACAATGTTGTTGTTCAGATCTTTCAATTTCTTCTTTCATACATTTTATTTTCATTGGATATTCTTTACTTTTTTAAGGAAATTTAAATTGTTTTCAACAAAATGAGTTTTAAGCCAAAGAAATTAAAAGAAAAAATAAGTCGTCGTTGTGCTCGATCTAATTTAAAAAAACGCACCTTTTGGAGGAACATCTCGTTGAACTCGTCGAACGTCTTATCGATGGCCTCCTCCTTGACACAGAGCATAGGCTCCCCCTTAGAATATAGGGGTAAAATCGGTAAATAAGGTTAAGGGATTTAAATAAAGTTTACAGAAAAAGCATATGTATATAAGGTATATTTAAAATTTAAGAAAATTTTAGACGAAAATGTTTTTTTTTAATGGGAAAGTACCTTGGCAAATAAAATTGATCTTAGGGATACACAAAAATGAGACACTAACTATACATGTTATATGGTTTAACTTTAAGGAAGTCGAAATATATTTCATGCACTAAATAAACATATAAAAATGCATGCAATAAGATTAAATTTTTAAAAACTAAAGCACTTGACTTGATCATACTATTCATGTTCCCTGAAAATCTTGGTGGTTATAAATGACATTTTACACCCCTGCAGCACTCATGTAGATTTCTATCATACTTTAAGCCTTTAAGGAGAACCCTGCTTTTAGAATTTGTAATGTTTAGTAAAAACTAGATTTATGAAAAACGTATAATACGTAGTATGTTGAAAAATGTTGATTACAAAACGAAGGTTCTGTTAAAATGCTAATAATGCAAAACTGCAGATCCCTAAGCAAATGAATAGTTTTCACCCCATTTTCCTTGATACGCTTCGTGTACTTCCTCGTGTTCTTCGATCCCTTCTTCCGGCCTCTCTTCCCCTTCGGCCGTTCGTCGAACAGATCGTCGTCGATGTCATCGTCGCTGTCATAATCTACTCGACCAATAGAATTCGTCAGATTTGTCGGACAAATAGCAAATTAATCATTAAAAAATATAACATACAGAAAATTTTACGAGTTTATTGAACATAAAGTTTATTTTGGACTTTAATTCGTTTCGCGAAAATGAATCAAGAAATTTGAGATAAGTTAAAAACAAAAACTTCTAGCTGTAGAGATCTAGATACCTTCTGAGTCTGAGCTGCTCTCCTCTACAAAACTATCATATGCGTATCCATGCTTAGTCTTGTTCCGCGGTTTAACTAAATATCAATCAATCAATCGATATATAGATCATTCATAAGCGTTTTTAAATAAATCCAGAAAATAACAGACGATGTAACTACAATTATCATTGAAGGTACTGTAGACATAATTTCAAGGAAACAATAGTACCCTTTTAACCCTATTTATCCGTCACAATAAGAAAAAACATCTTAAAACGTGTTGAAATCTGACAATCTCCTTCATGGTCTCTGTAGCATAAATCAGAAAGTCATTTATAAATAAGATTAAATTTAAAACGATCAATTTTCCAAAGGAAAAAAAGATATCTTATTCAACCATGGTGAGACATTGGTTTGCAGGGTACCGATGAAGTTTATAAATGGAGTCACATAAAATTACGCCTTCAGTCACTTTAATATTATATTGATATTTAAATATTTTGAAATACTTACAATCCTCATCGGAATCGTCCTCGATTAAACTATCATATCGTCCACGCTTTCCTCGTCTCTCCTGATATACAAATCAAATCAAATCAAATCAAATCAAATCAAATCAAATCAAATCAAATCAAATCAAATCATACTTTACAGGGATTCATATTTCATATACAACTAAAATGTCAAGGAAAAAATTGAATTGTCTTGCCACAAGGGTGTGTACTGTGTATTGTGTAAGAAATTATTTGAAAATGGGGGGGGGGGCGGGGGGGAAAACAAAATCGAACATTATCTCAGCTGGCAAGTTTTCTTTTGGATACTTTTTTCCTTAAAACTTAAAGGTTTCTATGCCTAGATTCAGAGAGAATTCTTATTTGTTGATAACGGAGTCTTTATTACAATTTCACAAGAAAGAAAATTTCCTGACGTTTAACCCCCTCAAAATATTTTACCTGCTTAATTTGATTCTCTGGAATCATCCATCCTCTCTCTTCCCTTTCCCTTTCTTCTCTTTCCTCCCTCTCCTTTCTCATCCGAGCCTCATACATACCTCCCTCGTTAAAATCTTAACAACAATAAATCAAACGAAAATCATATTTTGCAGGGATAGCTTTCGGATCCTAAACGAGGATTTGAGTTTTAAGTCTTGCCAACATTCGAGTTTTTCAGCCCGATCTCTACCAGTAAAATAAATATACATTTAAAGTCAGTTTTCAGACATTGCGCAAATGTTTTTGAAAAAATATTGGACTCTGATCGAATCGAATCGAATCGAATCGAATCGAATCGAATCGAATCGAATCGAATCAAATCAAATCAAATCAAATCAAATCAAATCAAATCAAATCAAATCAAATTAAATTAAATAAAATCAAATCAAATCAAATCAAATCAAATCATACTTTGCAGGGATGGCTTATGGCTCCTAAATGAGGGTTCAAAAGTTTCAAGTTTTGCCCATTATCGAGTTTTTCAGTCAATTGAGCCATAATTATTTATATAATTAAAAAGATCCCCCCCCCCATTCTCTTTCCCAACATCAGTTTACTCTATTACTATATAGTATACAAGGCACAGCCCTAGGTCGAGCTCACGACAAAATAATGCTACGATACCGGTCTGAATACAGCAATTTACCAAACAAATGCTAGGATAATGTAAAAACTGCTGGCGGAGTGTTCTCCCTGTTGATGGATTTGAACGACAAAGGAACTGAGTTTTTGTCACAAACTCTGATTTTCTTATTCTTATATCTCTGGAACCCGATTTTGTAGACCTTTAATATTTCTACCTATTAATTCTGTTAGGTCACCAAATCTAAGTTTGAAATATCAAAGGTTTGGAACATAGGGTTCAAAAGATATAGGGAATAGAAAATCAGAGTTTGTGGTGAAAACTCGGTTTCTTTTTGGAAACTGTATAATGTATGTAAGTATAGTATATATAAGATAATTTTTTACCAAGGTTGAACCCGAAGGCATCTGTCTTGACAGTCTCCTGACCAGGCTCCTGGGAGAACCCATAAACCGGTTTCAGCAGCTCCTCGCACTCCTTTACACAGTAACAGGGTTAATTAAATACACATCCAGACATTAATAGTAGTGTAGAGTGCCAGTAAAAGCAGAGTGTTCAGTGGTTCACTGCACTTTTAAATTGTGATGACATAATTATCCTTTTTTCCAAGTTTAATTCTTTGGAAGAGTAAAACTGACAAACATATATTCATTGATCATTCGCTAAAGAATAAAATAAAGTATTCTCTTACCTGGACTGTTATATCAGGGAATGATATAATATACTCAGAGTCTAAAATCTTTTCTGAGATCTCAGCAAACATGAACCGGAACAGAGAACTAGCGGCTCCAAGCACTAAATCAATCAATCAATTAAAATTCAATCATTCAATACATTAGTGACATTATAGATCTTTGCTGACGACTAAAATTTCAATAACAAAGGAACCTTTTCAAAAAATGTTAATTTCATGAACCAGAACTTTAAAATCTGACGAAGAAAAATTTAATTAAAAATAATGTAAGGTAAGTAAATATAAATACCAATACTATGCGCTCTGCGGTCTCCGTCCTTGCACCGTATAATGGTGTCTGTATGCTCGGCACTGGCGTAGAATTCATGCAGCTCAGAGAAGAAAATAGGTTTCTTTAGATTCACAACCTAGGAGAATAATTAATTAATTTCAACAGATCTGGAACATACGAAAATAATATTGCTGAATAGTTTCTTATGGGGGTAATTAATTTATTTTGCATGGGGGGGGGGAGAGCACCAAATAAAAACATTTAAATTTCATGCAGATCATGTTTGGTTATTGTAATTATTAATATTACCAGTCAACCTAGAGTAAATTCAAATAAAAGGTTGGTATTGTTTGACCTGTATATGATTATCAGTATTATATTTCTGCTCTTGTTCCTCTATCCCCTCTATACCACTCCTAATTAAACCCAGACATAAAAAATAATCATACAAGTATCACTAGGTAAAAAGTAAATTACCAAAACACGTTTCATAAAAAAAAACTGCCAGTTAAGTTATAGAACTTTTACACGAGACATTAATTTGACTTAAAGTTTGTTTTTAATCCTACTTCTAGGTAACTTAAATAGTATAAATTTATTAATTGTAAAAATATTTTTTTTTTCTGTCATAAGTTCCTTAGAATGGTGTTCTGAGGTACGTGGTTGTCAATACCAATATTCATCACAATGATCCCATGCCCAGGTACGTCAATCTTAAATATATTAATATATGAACTTTTTAAACACTACAAATAGATTATAAAGGTGGCAATAATTTTTTAAGAAATTATGCGTGACGTCATTAGTGTCAACTGTAGCACGTGTTTACTTAATACTAATCAAGACTAATACAGACGTTCATTCCGCATTTATTAGTTTTGGCTATATAAATGGAACTGGTTTTAAAAGGAAAATAAACGAAATATAAGAGGGGGTATGAATTTGTGAATTGATTTATTCAACTTTTATACAATAGTTCTGCCTATACACAGAACATGGCATTAGAAATATCAGATAGAAATAAATAAGTACAAATCCATTGATGATTTAATTACAGTCTGTCCCTTTTCTTTGCAAACACATCATTCTTGTTTAACAAGATATATGTTGAAATATTTACAAGATCTGACCTTTTATTCTTGTTGAAAAAAGATCCATGTTGAAATATTGAAAAAATAAACCTTTTGTTCTTGTTAAACAAAATAGATGCTGAAATATTGACAAGATTTAACCTTTTGTTCTTGTTAAACAAAATAGATGCTGAAATATTGACAAGATTTAACCTTTTGTTCTTGTTAAACAAGATGCATGTTAAAATATTGACAAGATCTGAAATTTTGTTCTTGTTGTTAAACAAGATAGATACTGAAATATTGACAAGATCTAACCTTATGTTCTTGTTGATAAACAATCTGTTCTCCAGGTACAAGTTGGTTCTCTAGAACTAGATGCTGCTGAAGACTGTGCTCCTGAGCAGCAGATGCTAGTTCTACAAGATCGTTCTGCTGCTGAAGCTCACGTTCATGTTCACGCTGTTCAACGTCATCGAGACGTTCCGTAATATGAGGTGTGTGCATAGGTTCTTCGGGGATACGTTCCAGAACACCTCGGGAACGATCATACTCCGTGAAGGCCTGTTGCTCACGTTGTAATCGTTCCCAATCCTTACGCACTTGGTCCTGGCGCAAATTGTGTTCCTCCTCTTCACGCACACGCTCTTGTTCGCGTCTGTACCGGTCATATTCTTCCTGTCTTCGTTCCCGGTCATAGTTTACCCGATCCTATTGTACACAAATTAACAATAATAAATAACAAAAAAATGAAATGGAAGTATTTTTGAAACAATTCAAAAGGCTAGTTGTTGGTTACCAGAGGTATCTGATATCTTTCTAGATCTTCTGGTCTCGGTAATCCGTCCCTCTCCCCTTCAACCTCCTGGGGATCCCGCTCCATTCTAGGATTTAACAACTTATACTTAATTCAGTAATTCTTTTTAAATATCTGTAAACTTTGAAAAATCAAAGTAAATCTTGAAATTAACATCAAGGGTATGTTTTTCAAAAATCAATAGTTTAAACTTGTGGGGGAAGATTTTTTTTTTTTCATAAGATATTTTTTTCACTAAAAGCAACAATAAAAAATAAAAAATAGTATTTGGGGGTAGGGGGGCTGAGAGAAAGAGATTTATCTAAATACACCGATTAAAGGAAGTTAAATGTTCATTACCTGATAAATTGACCCCGATTGAAACGTCTTAATTCTGAAATATAAAATGCCCGTTAACGATAACCGCAGTTCTACTTAAAATCATAAAAAACTGAGCCTAAACCTTCAATAATTACAAAACATTTTAACTCGCAGTAATTCTTTTTTCATATTACATTGAAAGCAATGTTTTAAACCAGGACAAAGTAGAAAAAAAGGCACAGGAGCTTTAGCTTGGAATATTTAACATCTCGTCACATCCAGTCGTTTCTTCCAGATTTGTTTTACACACTTTCGTCTCGTTCAGAATTTGCTTTTCGTCTTTAATGACGTTCTTGCCGTTTACCAGGGCAGTTAGTTCAATTTTATCTGGTTTCGTCTCAATTATCTCGTCTTTGGTTTCCTCCATATCGTCCTCTAGCTCCTCCGTTTCGTCTCTTTTCCGTAGCTTATTTTCCCTGAAACATAAATTTAAGTTTTCTTTTTTTGAGAATTTGAACCATAAAGTTACCCAGATATAACGTATCTAATTCAAACCATAAAGTTACCCAGATATAACATATCTAATTTGAACCATAAAGTTACCCAGATATAACGTATCTAATTTGAACCATAAAGTTACCCAGATATAACTTATCCAATTTGAACCATAAAGTTACCCAGAAATAACGTATCTAATTCAAACCATAAAGTTACCCAGATATAACGTATCTAATTTGAACCATAAAGTTACCCAGATATAACGTATCTAATTTGAACCATAAAGTTACCCAGAAATAACGTATCTAATTTGAACCATAAAGTTACCCAGATATAACGTATCTAATTCAAACCATAAAGTTACCCAGATATAACGTATCTAATTTGAACCATTAAAGTTACCCAGATATAACGTATCTAATTTGAACCTTAAAGTTACCCAGATATAACGTATCTTATTTGAACCATCAAGTTACCCAGATATAACGTATCTAATTTGAACCATAAAGTTACCCGGGTATAATGTATCTAATTTGAACCATTAAAGTTACCCAGATATAACGTACCTCATTTGAACCATAAAGTTACCCAGATATAACGTATCTAATTTGAACCATAAAGTTACCCAGGTATAACGTATCTAATTTGAACCATTAAATTACCCAGATATAACGTATCTTTAAAGTTACCCAGATATAACGTATCTAATTTGAACCATAAAGTTACACAGATATAACATATATAATTTGAACCTTAAAGTTACGCAGATATAACGTATCTAATTTGAACCATAATGTTACCCAGATATAACGTATCTAATTTGAACCTTAAAGTTACCCGGATATAACGTATCTAATTTGAACCATAAATTTACCCAGATATAACGTACATAATTTGAACCTTAAAGTTACCCAGATATAACGTATCTAATTTGAACCATAATGTTACCCAGATATAACGTATTTAATTTGAACCATAAGTTACCCAGGTATAACGTATCTAATTTGAACCATTAAAGTTACCCAGATATAACGGATCTAATTCAAACCATAAAAGTTACCCAGATATAACGTATCTAATTTGAACCATAAAAGTTACCCAGGTATAACGTATCTTATTTGAACCATTAAAATTACCCAGATATAACGTATCTAATTTTAACCTTAAAGTTACCCAGATATAACGTATCTAATTTGAACCATAAAGTTACCCAGATATAACATATATAATTTGAACCTTAAAGTTACGCAGATATAACGTATCTAATTTGAAAAGTTACCCAGATATAACGTATCTAATTTGAACCATAAAGTTACCCAGATATAACGTATCTTATTTGAATAAATACGGAATTTGTTAACAAAAACTACACAATGATTAAGAAACCAGGTTTTACATTTTAAAATATATCCTGTTGTTGTAGCCATTGATCCATAGTAGCGTATATGGAAATGGAAATTGGTTGTAAAGTTCTTTGGGCCACCAACTGAATGGGATAAGGTTCGCGTACCAGAAAAGTGAGTTACTGTCTCATTAACCCCCATACTTCATGATACTTACTCAATTATTACATCACCCTGACCTATTTGAGTGTTGGCAATTTGCATGTTATGTCATTCAACGTAATGACTTCCTACATCGTCTGTATTCTATATATATACCTTGCAACATCCAGGTACTTTCTCTTCTTCTCTTCTCGTTTCTGTTTAAGGAAGGCTTCATGAATGGCATCTCCAACCTTCTTCATCTCACGCGAGGTAACAGAACACTGGGTCCAATCCAGGTAGCCTACATCAATTTTAATCAATCTTAAACTTTAGACTGATAAATTTAATTTACTGAAAACTGAGTTCAATCCAAGAATCTAAAAAAATTCCTAAAAATCTAAAACTGTGGACTTATCAAAAATACTGAAATAAATACAGATGCAATTATCAATTATCATTTGGAGTGATCAAAATTAAAAAACAAAACAAATTAAAGTCTCCTTGATCAATGCTTACCGAACTTAAACTTAAGGCTGATTAAATCAAGCTAAATCAAATTTTAACCACTGAAAACTAGTTTAATTCCAGCTCTTATCAAACTTAATATTTGGACTGTTTAAAACGAATCCAAAATATATAAAAAAAATTAGTCTAATTTAGGTTTAATATTCAACTGCCATTAATCCTATCATTTGGACTGATAACCAAGAATAGACAACGCTGAATCAAAAATCAATTTTATTAAGTTCTTAAAGTTGAACCAATCAATCTCAAGTTAGATTATTGGCTTCCAACTGAGTATCATTTCTATTCAATATTTTCTATTAAAAGGAAAGGTTTTTGAGCGGAATCGAAGCAATACAACAATATAAACTAAAACAATGTAGTAAACATGTTAAGAACAACGGGATACTCAATAAACTAACCTTGCTCAGGGAGTTGATTGTTCTTGACTCGTTTAACAGGATCCTTGGCTGGGTCATATTCATCTATGCTCACGCCTAACTAAACTTTTAAGTCAAAATAGACAGGGGTTGATTTCTCAAATACAAACTTGAAGCTTGGGCACAACTCAAATATTTAGTCTTTTAAATTTTTCAAATTGTACAAAAAAAACCGAACATTGTTTATTATTTCTTGACCAATTATCAATGAATTCATATTGAGAAATAAATCTTACACTTAAATTATATATTGAACATTGTGCGTCCAACGGACAAAATTAAAAAGCACAAAATTGGTTTGATTTGTAGGTTATGTAGTTCTGTGCACATAGACAAATATCTTATTTCAGTTTCTCCCAAAGTCAGATTTAGGGATAGAGCTTTCAAAGCATCAATGAATTTCCTTACAATCATGATTAACAGGTTTTGAATTTGTTTATCAAATGCTCCTGCTGGGTCTCTACTAATTTCTACAAAATCATCTGCGTATTTTAGAAGATTATGACCTTTTCAGACCAAAAATAGGAAAAATAATATGTATCTTTGTCTCTCATTCAAAAATCCATAAAGTTATATGCTGAAAGAAATTGTGAATTTGTTTATTATGATTTATAAACATTTTATGAGTTGAAGCATTAAACTAAAAAAAAAAAATTTTTCTTGAATGCCCACGTCAGACTTTGTAATCAAAGTGAATTAACCAATATTCGGTCAAGTGAAAACAAACAATGATCAGATTGTTTTGTACAAAAACATGAAGGGAGTGGAACTTTACAGGTTGAAATTTTTATTTTAGAGATATCATTGTTTTATTTTGACGATTTTTTCTCCTTTTGCATTAGAAGCTTCATCACGTCATCGATGTAAGTATGAATATTGAGATCTGCTCGTTTAGCGTGTTTAGTTGGTTGTAGGTTGCATATTACCAGTTTTCCGTCACTCTGATACTTCTACAACATAAAAATTATATAACAATAGTTTGTAAAAATTAAAGTAAACATTATGCTAAAATCTTAACCTTAGTATATGTTGGCATGTTTCCAGCAGGTATAATTTGTAAAGTTGATCCCATTACAATGCTAAACAATAATGATAAATGTAAAATTAACGATAAAGACAGCAAAAATACCGTTAACGATTTCGTTAAGAATACATCAAGATTATTTATTCCATCTCGTTTAAGAATTTCCATTATTAAATTTTTTTCCTCATAACATAATCATATTACCGATTTTTTTTTAACTTATCTTGTTTTTATTCTTATTTAAATTTAATAATGACCAACCTTAGGTCTGCTTTCATGGAGTGAGCGTCGGATATAGTGAGGTCGTCGTCCGGCAGGGAATCCTCCCAATCCAGCACAAAATCCCGCAACTTTCCACGGCACTTTCGCCCGTCAGTTCGGTACGCAGGACAGGTAGTGCCAGAGATCTTAAGTCCTACGGTAGGGGCAGGGGAGTCACGGACGAACATCTTTTTGCATTTCTCGCACTGATCAACAAACATATTTCCGTGAAGCTCAGAGATATTAACACGTGGTATTCCGGATCTAAAACGGCGAAATGAAACGTTTGAAAACTATCGAAACAATGATTAAAAGCAAATACCTGAGATGCAGTCCATCAATGTTTTGAGTTATTACGAACTTGACTTTCCCCATATTTACTAGCCTAAAATGTATATAATTAACAATAAATAATTTGAATGTTAAGATTAGCCACTAATATTGTCTGTACCTGGCAAGGGCCATGTGAGTGTAGGTAGGTTTAGCATCATCCCAGGATACATTTATATCAGGTTTTAAACCTTTCTTCTCTAGGGTCCAGACTCCCTTAGGTCCTCTGCAATTAAATTAAATAACGTAAATTTCAACAATATTCTACATGGTTTCCAGTTCCGTTTTATATAATAGCTATGCTAGCAAAGGCTCAGACGTTAAAATTTGGCTTCTCTTGATTTAAAGGGAGAGACCGACTAGACATGGTAGATGAGCTGAAAGTGCAGTATTTTAGAGATATATAGATATACCAAAGAAACATCTTCACGGTGTACCATTTTTAAATAAGAGCGTAAAGTCGTTTGCAATATTTCACCAGTTTGCTTCACCTCGACTACATTTTTATTAAATAATGTTAATGCCCATAATGGTCTTAGCTAAGAGGTATATATTTTCTGAAAAAATCATTCCTTTTCAATAACGTACCCCCACCCCCCTAGCAGTAAGTAAGAAATTGGAGGGGGGGAATGCGTATTGGGAAAATAACTGGGAGAAACCATTGATGTGCACTTTTTCAACCCCTCATCTTCAAAAAAATACCACTGTCTAAGATAAAATCAGCTAGATGGGAAAATATGATCTTTTTTACCTAAAATCCGGAATACCGGCTGACGTACTGATACCAGCTCCAGTATGGACGACAATATGTTTAGCAGCTTTGACCCATTCAGCTAACTTACTCACCTAAACAACACCCTTCAATCATTGCCACAAATGATATGATATATCGAAAAAAATGTTTGTTTTTTTATTTTCTGTTGTTAATTTACCTTTTCCTCAACTTCGTCGCGGGAATCAAACTTCTCAGGGGCACCGAGTTTGCCCTGCAAAGTATTTGACAGATTTATATAACGATTTATTTCGATAGAAGGAAAGTATTGTTTCATGTTTTCAATTCCTAGGCTCAACCAACTCTTAACCTTTCTTTCCTTTCCGTTCCCAATCAATTCCCTTGCAGCACGTTTTTCAGTGAAACATGAAGATCTTTTTACAAATTGCAGTTACCGGTGCTGAAAAAGATTATTCAGCCCCCCCCCCCCTCTCTTTAGGTTTTGAACAATATTGACCTTGTTTTCATAAGGACTAAGTCCATCGGCATAGTTGCAAGACATCCTGGAGAGCTTGCTTTCAATCTTCGTTTACTTTGTAGCTTAGGGTCAATCTTCATCTAATCAGTAGTTATTCAATTTGGCGTTCTTCCTTTTTCATTTATGTTTTCTATGCATCATGAGTCTCTTATTATCCAACATTATATAGTGAGGTTTGTTAGGTCTGAAAGAATAAAGTGTTGTATGAAAACCGGAATATTTTAAACCGGGATTGAGTAGATGTTCATACATTCGTCTTCTGATATGGAGACTAGACGACTACCATCCTTGTTGTACTTGAGACCCCACACCTGAATATAATTTCATGTTAGTCTAGTTAAAACAGAGGTCGGAAATTTTGTATTGTTAACCCCTTCAGAAATCACTAATCTGTAACTCTAGTAGTCAGGCGAATGGTGAAATTTCTTTTTGACTCTCTCTAAAGGTTAAACCTTTTGTAAGCCACAAATAATTGCTGTTAGCCAATAAGACACAGCGAAAATTCGAGTCAGTTTTAAAAGAGGTTCTTCACGAAACGGAAGTTTCCGGTATAAAAAACGAGTCCATGGGTTGTAGACCAGAGCATCTCAAAAAAATATTGTTTCGAATTTAATTAAATCGTTTTGTGATCATCAAGGTAATAATATTATCATGCATTGAACGATATTAGAGATGAAAATGGAAAGATAGAGGGAAAGAAGTTGATCAATGATCATATGGAAATCACAAAGATGAAAGGGGAGAAATGAAGGGGAAAATTTAATTTTACAATACCTCACTAGTGTGTTCGTTAAAGGTATGAACGCATTGTCTACTTGAAATCTCCCAAATCTTGACACTATGATCCGAACTACTGCTTGCAAAATGTTCGGCATCAGGACTAAATGCTACGGATAGAACCCAGCTAGTATGTCCAGACATAGTTCCGACAAGTGTACCATTAGATACGTCAAGAAGCTTGATGTGTCCGTCGTCAGAACCTAGGCAGTATAAACATACAATGAAAACCATTATTTTATGTGATTTGAGCAGAATAATCTTAGTAATGATTAAAGGGACTGTCGGCGTAATTTCAAGTAACCCTCCATCAAAAGAGTTGTCGTTTTTAATTGTGGTTTTAAGAGGAAAATAAGTAGTTTTTTTTCTGGGGGAAAATAATGAAAAAGGATGGAGAAACTCGCCTTTTCATGTCTAATTTTATATTTATCCCCCTCCAGATCTTCAAAATGGGGGGCGCGGGTAATAAAAATATGCATACCCCATTTAAGCACTAAAAAAAGGCATATCAGTTTAGATACTCACTGTTCATAATAAATTACACAATATAAGCAGTAAATACAATACAAAAACTGTAAATCTGAACTCCCTGCCTAATAAATAAAATAAGCTTATCAAAATTATTTATACCTGTCAATATTTTCTGCGAGTCTGGACTGAAAGCAATTGTTCTGATCGGCATAGCGTGCTCTTCCAGGGAGTGTTTAACTTTCTTAGTCTCCATATCAAAAATGTTAATAATGCCATCAATAGCTCCACTCGCCAGATACTGGCCATCAGGAGAAAATGCGATTGACAGGATGAATTTCTCTCTAAAACAAGAGAAAAATATAATTTACTGATGGGTAAATTTTCTTAAGAATACATCTTCCACCCCCCACCCCCCTCCCACACACACCCCCATTCTAGTTTAAAATTTTGAGTCAACTTCTAATAACCTAAAAAATCGATCAATCAATCAATCTTTCCTCTACCTTTTCGTGTCTAGCTGATCGGTTAACTTGGCTGTATCTAAACTGTATAGGTTGACCCGTCCTGATTGATTTCCACTAGCTATAAACTGACCGTCAGGGCTAAAAAAAATAACATTGTCAAAAATAAATATAAATATCCTTTTATAGAAAAGTGGGATCGACTTTCATTTCCTAGAAAGGGTAAGAAGTGGAGAAAAGTTATATTTATCTTGAGTCTGTTAACGAAAAAAGGGGTTAATTTTTACATAATGCATTACAAATTGTTGAAAAGGGAGGAGGGATTTAACAATTACCTAAATTGAACTGTCCACACTTCCCCAGAACCATTCTCAATTGTTTTAATTTTCTCCCCTATAAATAATAATTATATCACTAAAAATAAAACCTTTATTACATTTTTAAAAAAATTAATGCGTTTCTCTTTATTTTCCGTAGCTCCCCCAAATGTAGAAATGTACTGAAGACGGGTTTTAAACTTGATTATCAGAAAGAATCACCTGACTCTATATCCCAGATATGAATAGCAGAATCCTGGGAGCTACTTGCCACCTTACTTCCATCCTTACTGATACATACACTAACAACACCCAAACTATGGTCCGTCAACTTATGCCTAGAAGGAGATATCTTGAAATTAGATTAAGACAATGTCTGGGCCGAGCGCTGCGACTAGGACAGTCTAGGGGGCCGAGCGCTTCGGCTAGGACAGTCTAGGGGGACGAGCACTGCGACTAGGACAGTCTAGGGGGCCGAGCGCTGCGACTTGGACAGTCTAGGGGGACGAGCGCTGCGACTAGGACAGTCTAGGTCGTCTAGGGGGACGAGCGCTGCGACTAGGACAGTCTAGGTCGTCTAGAGCGCTTCGGCTAGGACATGGGGCCGACTATGACAGATAAGGGGGCCAAGCACTAAAGTACACTTTTATATATATATGATGGCCTAAGGGTGCACAGAGCAAGAAACAATATTAGAATGCTACAGAGGCGCAACTAGGACTTTTGCTAGGGGGGGGGGGCAATATATTATTTTGTTAGGGTTTGGGGGGGGGTTAAGGGGGGGTTTCCCCCCCTTTTTCGAAAATTTTTCAAAAACAAAAGTGCTTTTTTAAGGGTTTGAAGTCGAAAAAAGGAAATTTTAAGTGTGTTCAATTCAAATCGATTTTTTGTTCTTGTGTTTTTACAAAATTTATACTTCCAACAGCTGTAAAATGAATTATATGAGTCAATTCATTAAATATATGTGTGCGAATCGCAAATGAGTATTTTTTAAGTACCTGGTTTAATTACAGATTAAATTGCAAGAAAAAATCATTTATAGTTTCTGGAAAAAAAAACATAAAAATACAGAGGTAAATAATAAATTCAATCATCTACATTGAAAAAGGACAGATAATGTTACCTTTTCTCTTGAAGTTATTGAATTAATGATTGATCTAACCAACATTCATAATCTAAATTCATTTTCGATTTTACAGAACTTCTGTCAAAGAAGATAAATCTTGTTAGTTATCAAATATGATTGATAATCAGTTAGAAATTTGCCAGGTTTAGAATTTTCTCTAGATTTGGAACTGAGTTTTTGCCACAAACTCAAATATTCTAATCCTTAAATCTTTGCACCGAGTGGTGTAAACATTTGATATTTCAAACTTGGAATATTTTATTATAAAGAATTCAAAGTTTGATATCTACGAGTACTCTATAAACTAAACACAAATAAAATACAGTTCAGAACTTTTTTTTACATTAAATGTTTACAATAGCCTTTAGCCTTGAGAATTGAGAAAGATAAAAATATTCATTTTAAAACTAACTATAGTATAATGAAATTTCTACAATAACTCTATTGGTTTTCTTATTCCTGTGATACTGATTTTCGCCATTCTTTCTTTCTTTTCATTCTGCAGGGGGGGGCGCGCCCCCCCCTCTCAGGTGCTAGGGGAGGGCGCGCGCCCGGCCGCCCCCCCCCTAGTTGCGCCTCTGGAATGCTATAAAATAAATTATTTGAAAATTGACGAACCTGACTTCGACTTCTCCGTTCTTATAATTCCAGATCTTTACAGTATCATCCAGAGATCCGGTCACTATAATATCTTCCTCTTCCCTAGGGGCGGGCAACTCCTCCCCCTCAACAGGTTCAGGGGGCGTGCCCCCGAGCACGCCCCAATCACAGGCCCAGATTGAGTCTGTGTGCGCCTTTTCTCTCTTATTCTGTAGGGAATACATTTTAAATCAGGTCTGAAAATAAAGGATATAAATTGCAGAAAGTGGGAAAAACCCTAAAAAGAGCCATAAAGTGATAGAAGTAGTAAATAAATGACGGCAATTTCGCAGCGAACAACATTCTTTTTTACCATGCACCATTTGGTAATTTAAAAAAAAACTTGAGGAAATTTTGGCCTTCAACAAGAATCAGCTTTTTCAGCTGTAGCAAAATAATAAATAAACCGGACCGGTGGTTTTAGTTTAAATATATTCTGAAATATTAAATATACTTTTCTGTAAAACCTGTAAATCTTGCATTATTACTCTTTGTTTGACTTGGACAATTTACAACAAAGTTTTCAACATTTATATTTAACCCTGAATTTAATAGTTCACAAAAAAAATTTCGCAAAAAGTTTTTTAATCTACATAATTCAAAGATTCACACGAAAAAATAGGCGAGATGTAAAGTAATCGCCTATTTTTAACCGTTTAAAGCTTAGGATACAGGTTTTGGGTAACGGGAGGTAAAATGGAGATTGGATTCATCCCTGGCTCTGCAGTGGAACCTAGCGGAGAAACAGGAAACTAATTTAGCTACCTCACTACCTGACTATCTATCTATTTATCTATCTATCTATCTATCTAGTTACCTCTCTATCTAGCAACCTCACTACTTGACTATCTATCTATCTATCTATCTATCTAGATCAAAACTCAAGAAAATCAGCTGTTCGCTCGGCTTTAGTACGATTACGAAATACAAAATACAAATTGTTAATTGGCGCAAAATACCAATTATGCGAATTTTACTGACAGGATATCCAGGTGTAGGTAAAACTACAATATGTCGAAAAGTATCCGAAGAGCTTCGTGGCGAAGTGACTGGATTTTACACCGAGGAGGTTCGAGTTAACGGAACCAGAATCGGCTTCGATATCGTCACTCTTGGTGACAACGAACAACGGGGAATTTTAGCTCGAACTGTATCTCAGATAAACGGACCAAAGGTTGGTCAATACACCGTACATGTGACCGACTTCGAAACTATAGCCATACCCTGCTTAAAGGCCGTTGGCCGCCAGTATTTGGTAGTGGACGAAATTGGGAAAATGGAAAGTTTCAGCCAGAAATTCAAGCAAGAAATTCGAAAACTTTTTACGGAATTTGACGGAGATATTATTGCCATTATTCCACACTCCAGAGGGTCTCCTCTTCCACTGGTTCAAGAAATCTCCGAATTATCAAATACAGAAATTATCATGGTTACAAAGGAGAACAGGGACTCAATCCCTACCCAGATAATTAACAGAATTAAGAACTACTCGTGAATCATCAATCATGTTTTCATAATGTTATTTACTATGATGAATGTTTTTTATTTTTTATTTTATTTTAAACACATGCACAACGGATACTGTTTTTAATATTTTTGTAATTTTTCAGATGGATTTTCTGTTACCATGTATTCAGAGGTTGCAAAGTGAAGGATTAAATAAATATAGATCTGTTAAAGTACTGTTTGAGAAACCCGTAACAAGGCATGCATTTCAGAATTATAACAGTTTCATTTTCAGGTAATTTCCTAGAATACGATTTTTGGTAAAACCGTTTTCCAGGAAATTATCCAGGAATTTGCCCAGCTGAAACTTTGGCCAATTTCTTATTCATATTACCATAGGTACACCTATAGGTCTATCATCTATCTACATTTCTCTTGTAAAGCTTAACCATAGTATGACTATGGTTCCACCTGTGGTAGAACGTCTAAGAAATTGGCCATTCATCGACAAGCAAGGAGGGGTGGACTCAACCTCAGTGAAGGGAGAATCTCCTTGAAAGTGAAAGTTTCACTTCCCCATTTCCCCCCCCCCTCCCCTGTATAAACCCTTAATCCAACCACAGTTTCAATTGATAGAATTGAATCTAATTTGAATGCATGATGTCTTCAGGGATTCTTTATATTTTCATTATTTCCCCCTGGCCGGATCCATCTCATACTCTCTTCTTGCAGTTAATGTTATCCATCCTTCACTCAGTGCCGCAGTCTACTCCAGGTTGGAATCATTGATTGAATAATTAGTTCCATTCAATATTCACGATATCCTATTCTTATTTGCAGAGGACAATGGTAGATAACTCAATCTATTGTCAGCCCAAGATCAAAAGTTTAAATCAAAATGCCATTGTGTATCGTGATGGTACTTTTTAAACTAAATATTTTGCATCTTTGTGACAAAATTGGATATTGATTAAATTGATTATTGAATTCCAGGCTTTCAGTTTCGCTATAATAAAAAGAAATTAATTAGTTTAAAAATGTTGAGAAAATTATTCTTATTCCCAAACATTATGTTTTTAAGTATTGTTGATTCGGAAAAATGCCTTGTATATTAATATTTTGGTTTCTACCGAGAATGCAGAAACGGAGAATTTTAAACTTCTCTTAAGATTATCTAGGGGTGTATATTATTTTTCTGTACTAATATACACCCTTAATTAACCACAAATCAATATTTTGCTTATACGTTATTAACACAATCATAATTTTAAACCTTTTTTTACAGATTAGGCCTGTCTGAGGATATGAGTACAAACTATGTTGTACTGTCAACTATTGGACTCTCATTCCACATGTACAGTCGGCAAACACTAGCTTGCAAGGATCTCCAGACTAGAGCAGGGTATAGGTAATGTTCGGCCTCAGTGGCATATACATGTTGGGAGTTTGGGGAAAAGCCCCTTCCTGAAAAAGTAAAAACTGAAAAGAACTCCCACCTCCTGAGCCAATTCCTGTAAATGCCCCTGAAAGAAAAAAATGTTACCTTTGGCTAAACAAAAATTGCGAGATCTAACATATTTAGATTTTTTTCCGTAAGTTTGTTGTTCTTATATTAAGCTGATCTTGGCCTTGAAAGAAAATGATAATGAAAGAAATACAAACAATCTTGAATTAACATGAACAGATTTTAAAAACCGTTCAGATCAATATCTTCTATTAGAAAATAAGATTACTTATAGAAAGTACATTTTAAAAGGATAGGATCTAAACACTTACTAACTTATCTTTAAATTTTTGCGATCTGAACTTCGAATTCTGCTCTAATAGTTTGAAATATCAAAGATTTCACCACAAGAGGTCGAATTTAAAGAATTTAAACCGTGTCGCTGATCAGCCAAACCGGTTCCAATTGAGCGCAGGCTCAAATCTCGAAACACTGAATTCAAGTGGAACCAACCATGTTTGAACCGCTTCTCATATTTGAGCCGCGGCTCAAATTTTTAAAATTCGCCCTTTGGTAGCAAGGATTTAGTGATTGGAAAATTTGTGGCAAGTGCAGTGTTAATTCCTTTGTAAAATGTCACAGCTTGTTTAGAAACCTTTTAAAAGATTAATTATTTAAACTTAAGCACTGGTTTTATTGAAATATATAATATAAATTTCCATTTTGCGCAAAATATACTGTTAATTTTACCAAAATAAAGAACCATACAATTTTGATGTGTTAGTGAAACTAAATCACCTTTTTGCTAACCTGTAGGGATTTTTCATTTTGTTTCACTAAGGTTCGCGCCATATCTTTTTAATTATAAACATATTTTAGTATTTATCATTCTGGTCTGTTTGTTTTGGGTTCAGTTCTTAGCTGGGCAATTTGTTCCAGATCTCTTCCTAGCAGCTCAACACTTAGATTGGGTAGGGAACAAGTTTGCTTAAAGGGAGTGTTCGCGAAAAATGAAAGGGGGTATAGGCTTAATGCGATAAAAAAGCGCCTTTGATCGCTACTAATCTTTCTTCTATCTGTTGCGTATATAAGGAGAAAATTGATAAAGACGTTTCATACCGAAGAGCGTAGGGCCCATACATGTTTCGCGAGTGTTTTAGTACCTTACTTGGACCTCGCTAAGTATCCAAGTTAGTTTTAGCTATTCAAAGACCTTCTAATTCTCTCTCTCTCTTTATCCTAGTTTTTTTTTTCTACCTAGCCATCTTTCTCCCTTCCCCTTGAATCAACACTTGGGTCTTCTCTCTTTATTCTTGATCCCAATATAGAGTTGCTAAAAATACAGGGGGTTAATTTTATGAACACACATATTTTTAGGAATGTATAAAATCAAACATGAAGAACAAGATTTAGATTGGACTTTTTTCAATTCTTTGTGGAGAAAATAAATAAAAACCTTTCAGTGCGGGTATCAGGTTACAGATACTTTAGTGGAAATAATCACTACATTTTGTATTCTGTAATTATTTGACTTGAAAATCAATCATGATTTGCTTAGGGAAAGTAGACATTTTAGTAGACATTTTAATAATTCAATGGAAAAAGCTTTCCACCACTTTAACATAATATTTTACAGTAAACATAAACAGTATTTTTATTTTGTGTATCTCCTGGGACTTTCTCTCTCCTCCTCTTTATACAGGAACATGAAAAATATAAATATAGTTAGAAAAGCATAATTTTATGCAGAACAATACAAATTGAGGAAATTGCAACATACGACTTAGACCGTAAAAAAATCAAATTAATATCAAACAAATCATTCAGATATTACAATCTATAGTCATCGATTATCTTTCGCCACATTTGTATATATTTGATATTTCATACTAGTTTTGATTTTGTTTTTTAAAATAATATTTAGCGTACAACTTGTTTTCGAATATTCCTGGAAAATATGAAAATGTCGTCTTCATTACCGAAAATCTTCGAAGCAGGAATAAATGTTTTTATAAGTAACTCTCAGATCATAACAATTAAAACATATTATGAAAAAACTATATATAAATGTGGCGAAAGATAATCGATGACTACAGGTTGTAATATTTGAATGTTTTGTTTCAAATTAAATTGATTTTTTTACGGTCTAAGTCGTATGTTGCAATTTTTTCAATTTGTAAGAACGCCATGTTATTCGGTATGTGACGTCTTTAACAATTTTCTCCTTATAGACGCAACAGATAGAAGTAAGATTTGTAGCGATCAAAAGCGCTTTTTTATCGCATTAAGCCTTTAACCCCTTTCATTTTTCGCGAACACCCCCTTTAACAAATTCAAAGTTTAAAAACTTCAAACTTTGTAACCATTATTCATAGATTCAAATATATACCATTTTTTACATAAACCATGGAGTGAAGTGGAAACTTTGATTTTTTTGAATTGGACAATAAGTACAGATGTTAACTTAGACTTACACTTTACAGTCATAATCCGTATAACGCAGAATAAAAGTGGTTTTTGTTACCTTTCAGTTGGAAATAAAGCGACATATCTATGAAAATGTTCAGAAGTCATAACTTTTTTGTTGTGAATATCACGAACAAGGTAATCTCATAGATAAATAAATAAACATAGATAGCTTATGTACGCAAAATCACCAAGAATTGTACAGTCCGCGAACTCATACTTCTAGGGGTCAAAGTGTACTTCAATGATAAGCGGGGTGGTTTGGTGTTTTAATGGATTTCATAATAAAGTGTAAAATAACTCCGGAAATGGAACTATTTGAACAACAATATTTCACTGAGCAATATATCATATTGACGAGAACTGAAGAAGGACATGAGAAGGACTAAACTAACTTAAATTTCTCTCTACAGAACTCATGTACACCACAAGTACTCAATGACATAAGAACAGCCAATGTTCACAACCGACCTAGTTAATCTATATGATAGGAATATCTTTAAAACATCTCTGTACATTTATATCTTTCAAGATGAAAAGTGTCGTGTTATGCGCAATCTATCTTTATCTATGGGTAATCTTATACGGACCTACGGATTAATTTAATTCTGTTTTGGTCATACCCTGGTTATTGATAATTTTATTTGAAAGTTATAGCATTTATCCTCAAATTTAAAAGTTCCACACATTATAGGAGTTATAACCGCTACAAATAACAATCTTTTTTAACATTTTTTAACCGTAATAACGACAGCGTCACGACTGATATTCTGCTTTATACTGGTTAGAACTGAGAACCCTTACTATTTATTTTTAGGAGTGGCTGTTGGATCTTCAATATGGATGTTAAACATTGCTAAAAACTCTATGGACAATATTGATGCAAGAATGGGATTTACACTTGGAAAATAGTTATTTTTTTAATATCTTTACTTTACAACTAGTTATGTTTTTTGTAATTGCATAAGTTAGTTTTGAATACATTCTGCTTAACACTCAACTAGTTTTTAAAAATCACATCATTAAAATTTTCTTAAACCTTTGTAATCTTTTTTATGACTCTTAGTTTTATGTATTTTTTTTAAAGAATTGTGTGAAAGATTCGCATGGATTGTTTGCACAACAAAATAAGCATTTTTTGAAAATATTGGTTAAATACTTAGACTAAGATCAATGTGATACATTTTATGTTCTTTTTTAGAGATAATATTAAATTTTATTTGTGATATATGTGTGTTAAAGTCTAAATTCATATTGCTAAAATACAACCTAAGCTTAATTTTAATTATTCTACTTCGGACACAATGTTCTTAGTTTTTAAAAACAGACACTAATTTGAAATTGGCATTGTTCTTCGTTGTTGTTTTGAAAATTCAACCTTTTTTTGTGAAAATCAAGTTTATGTGATTTTATGGTAAATTATATCTATGATTTTTTCACTCTCTTCAATTATGTTTTTAGAATATGGTAATTTTTATTAAAATAATATCTTAATGAAAATGGAGGATCTAGAATGTTCTCCCTTTAAAATGTATAAACATTGGTCGTACGTTGGAAGACGATAGTTTGGCCGCCAAATGTCTCACGCTAAATTCTTTTCTGATGGATAATTCATACGACCAAAACTAGTTGACGTCATGTGGTCGACCAATATAATGATAGAAGAACTGGTCTCTGTCTAGACGTCGGTCATTATTCAAAAGGTATGCAAGGTAAATTTAAAACTGATAAACAATGGCCGAGAAATCAAATGGAAATGCACTGTACAAGAACCAGAAATTTAACAGATTAGCAATACCAGAACTAGAAAAATTAAACTAGATTAATCACCAAACCTAGAAACTAAAAGAATGGTCTGCAGTTCTTGAAGCATAGTTAAACGCCTATTGTGTCTAAAACCATTTTTTGTCAATAAAACATCCTGAATAGCCCAGAAATACAAGCACAAGCAGGAATGGTGTTCATAACATGGCCACAATACTGAGAAATGATGACCCTGATCCAGTAGGAGAATGTGTTTTTGCTCACCCGATGTAGAGAAGCCAGTGATTAAAAGCTCAAAATTCTTAAGTGAATCAAGATACTAACAAGCGGAATAAGAATAAAGGGAAGGGCAATGGTCTTTAAATACTTGGTATTGCACCAACTTTCAGTCCTTTTTGTTGTTCAAAATCAACATTATATGAATTAGATGATTCTCTAGAAAAATGTTTGCTGCACACAAAAAACGTTCTTGGTGGACTTCCACCCCACAGGACTGGAACGTTACCATTTATCACGTACAATTCCTTCTTTAGGTAAAACGAACAATTTGGTGCCATGCCTCTGGCGTGCTTTACATAAATTTACAGAGCAATATCTCCACATTTTGAAAGGAAAAATGCTAATCTGAAACATATTTAGAGTACTTATAAGCAAGTAAACTAGTTTTTGAAAACTCAAGATCTAGAAAACGACGATTTTAATTTATTTCATTTACTTTTAACCATGATTACCATCACCCTGCTGGGGGGGGGGGTGATTAATTACCCCCCCCTCCCCCAGTGTTTTATTTAAATAAATTAAAAAAGTGTTGGTCTTTCAAAATTGCATACACTGGACTGAGGGGGTAAACCCCTCCCACATGTTTTTTGAGACAATTCAAGTAGAGAGTATAACATTTTTCTTGAATTATTTAAAAACTTTGTAACGCAACAAATAAAGTTAGGATTACTTACACAGTAATAAATTAAATTTACTGAGCGTAAAAAGATAGATCTTCCACCCAATTAGTATTAACAAAACTAATTTGTTTGCGTCATTCAAAATTAAGCTGGAATCACAAATAGGTTATTATGAATTATTACTTTATAGCACGAGGAAGGAGGTGCAGAGGCGCCATGATCCCCGCAAAAATGACCTCCGAGCCTCAGGATTTGCAGAATTACCTCCAGGCCCCGCAAAACTGGTCTCCCAGCCTCAGTGACGTCACCAAGCCTCCCGCCATTCTGTCTCCACGCCCCGCATTTTGGCTCCAATAAAAAAAATATTTGGCTTTTATTTCCATCAAGAACCTTTTTCTCATTCCATCTTAATGTAAACTTTTACAGAAAAACAACTCCAGAACAATTGAATGAATTAACATGTCAAATTTGTTGATTAGACGATTCTTTAAACTATTACGGAGTCTACTATGAAGAGATATATTTTGATATTTGTTTGGTTAAGCCAACCAATTTAAACAAAAAATAAAAAAAACAACAAGCGGAGACCAAAATGCGGGGCGTGGAGACAGAATGGCGGGAGGCTTGGTGACGTCACTGAGGCTGGGAGACTAGTTTTGCGGGGCCTGGAGGTAATTCTGCAAATCCTGAGGTTCGGAGGTCATTTTTGCGGGGATCATGGCGCCTCTGCACCCCCTCCCTCATAGCACTGCTAAAATGAAATTCAGTATGAGGTCTTTGCATAAGAAAGTGCACAGTTATTGTATCATAAAATATTTGATCATTTTAAATTGTATAAATTCTTCTACGATATGTATATGATTTTATTATAATTACGGTTTCCAATCGGAATACAGGGCTCGCAAGTAAAATCAATTGCGCTGAAAACCCTAATTATAATGTGATATCCATGGAATTTTTTTTATTTGAATGTGAATGAAAAATTTCTTTAAATTAAATTAAATTATCTCTTTGAATTGTTATTCTTAGCCATAGTGTAATATCTTTTTCTTAAAGTTAAACTGTTTAAACCATTGTAAATTAGAATGTGAAAAAGTAATTTTTTATATTTGATCTTTAATTATGAATTACAGTCGTATAATTGACATCACATACTGAGAATGTATTGTTTCAAATAAAATAATTTCAATCTTAATTAAAATATAAATTTTCTGGTATGATAACAGTAATTTGTTTTATTAGATAAAAGCTTATAGATAGAATGGATGGAGTAAAAACTGCATTGAAAGAAGACAAAGTTACAAGTAAAGAAGAAAAATCTACTGTAGAAGATATGGTTACTGTTTACATAACAGAACAAGATATCAAGATGGAAAACACAGAACTCAAAGGTAATTATTAGGTTTAAAAATCATTAAAACTATAAGTTCAGTTTAAAAAATGAACATAAATTAAGCTTTGCCTCTTTCTGAGAGCACTTAAAATTGAAATAAATATTCATTACAAACTATTACTAAAAAGTAAATAGCTACTGGGATTCAGTCCTAAAAGTGGACAGGGTCAGATCGAACATTGCATCCCATTCAACACTGTTATTGTCTACAGATCCTGGCTCTTCAATAAAACTGTTAAACCAATAATATTTTTAGAGGAAATGATATTTGAAGATCCACTACAATCTAGAACTAAGAAGAGAAAAAATGAAGGAATAAGTTACCTATGTACTCAGTGTGAATACTCCGCAAAAACTGCAGCTGGTCTTAAGAAACACATAAAGGTTATTCATGAGGCAGTCAGGTTTCCATGTACTCAGTGTGAATACACTGCAACACAAGTAGGGAATCTAAAGCGTCACATTAAGAAAAAACATGAGGAACAAGAGAGAGTTAGATATCCATGCTATCAATGTGAATACTCTACAAAAACTAAAGGAAGTCTAAAGTCACACATATTGTTTAAGCATGAAGTAAGGTATCCATGTAATCAGTGTGAATACACTACAAAAACTGCAGGAAGTCTAAAGTCACACATGATGTTTAAGCATGAAGTAAGGTATCCATGTAATCAGTGTGAATACACTACAAAAACTGCAGGAAGTCTAAAGTCACACATGATGTTTAAGCACAAAGAGCAGAATGGATACACAGGAACCACAGCGAACCTTCTCAGAAGAAATATTAGCAAAGAGGGATATCAATGTGATCTATGTGAATATGCTGCAACAACAGCTGGAAATCTAACAATACACATTCATCAACACTTCAAATAAATCTTGGCATGGCATGAAGGTGTTAGGCATCCATGCAGGGCGGAGAATCATTCCTGGAGATCTGGAGGTCAAAGTTTAAAATTGGTCATGAGAAAGTTGGGCTTTTAATCTCTTTTCACACTTACTAGCGAAATATTTGTTTATTTTACCCTAAAATTCAATTATTTTTTCTTATTCAGCCAATTAAACCCTAAGAAAAAACACCTAACTTCTAATTCTGGGGGGAAAAAATATTCGGCTAAAAAGATGGGGTGGGACGATTTTTCAGAGAAATATACACACCTCCAATTCATCCATGTAATCTATGCAGATACACTGCAACAAGACTATATCATCTAAAGTTGCACATCAAATATAATCTTAGATTAGTTCAGATCAACTCATTACCTACTCAAGTCTCATCAAAATACAATATTTTCATTTATATTTATGTAAAAATTTAAATGTATTAATGGATAATTTAAATTATTTGATCTCTTAAAAATTATAAGTCATTGTCATGTAATCATTTTCTATTTGTCAATTATTCAAAAGCAGAAAAGTGTTATTTTGATATCTATTTCTTTATAATGTAATAATTTATTTCAGCTATTGATACTACTACCATAGTATTTGATTATTGTTTTTCTTGAGTTTTGTGCAACAAAAAAGATGCATAGTCAAAGTATTGATTTTTTGTCAACTTTTATTGAATTTTACTCATTGAATAATATCTTGTTCAGTTTATTTGAACTTAGACATGATATTTTAGGATTTTTTAAAAATTATAATTATGTGATATATTCGAATTCTTTCTAAATAAGATTGTGAAATTATAATTTTTGAATATTTGGTTTATATAGATTACAGTCATCTAATTAACATCTCAGAATGTCCTGTTTAATATTTGGTTTATATAAATTACAGTCATCTAATTAACATCTCAGAATGTCCTGTTTAATATTTGGTTTATATAAATTACAGTCATCTAATTAACAACTCAGAATGTCCTGTTTAATATTTGGTTTATATAAATTATAGTCATCTAATTAACAACTCAGAATGTCCTGTTTAATATTTGGTTTATATAAATTACAGTCATCTAATTAACATCTCAGAATGTCCTGTTTAAGAGAGAAAAGTGTCAACATATTTTTGATTAATGTTCTGCTATTTTTGTAGATTATGTTTTATTTTGTAATAAGGGTAATTTTGATCATAAAAGTATATAATAGAAAGGCTGGAATGTCAATAAAAGGAGGAAAGAGGGCAAAGAGAAAGAATTACCTCTAAAAATATCTTCTGTTAAAGATATGTGTACTATTGATATAAAAGAAAAAGAAGATGGAAAGTACAGAAATCAAAGGTTATTTTTAAAGTTTATTTTTATCACTCCTAATCAAAACTTTAAAATATATTCATAAATCAACAGAACTGGCAGAATTCTGGGTCTAGCGTTAGCCCCAAGGATTCTGATCTAGCATTCATTTTCTTCTATTTAAATTAAATTTAAAATCTTTATAATAAAATCATAATAACTAAAACCGAGTCTAGCCAAATCCTAAGTCTTGCCTTGGGCTTTTGTAAGAGTAATTTCAAGTGATACCTCCATGTAATTATCAACTGTGGTTTCTCTACAAAAGTAATTTCAACTGCAGTAAAAAATATTACAATTATCAGAATCAACAACTTTTAAGCCAAGATAACAATAAGAAAGGGAGCTTGTAAAGCATTTCACCACACAAAGCTTCCTGACAAAAAACGTTTCCTGTCAGAAATCGTCTCCTGCTACAAAATGTTTTGTTTGTAAATGTTTCCAGCGTTATATTTATGTAACTAGTCTTTAGTCTATATTACCTCTTGGGTTCCCTCAAAAAATTTCAGCCCATCGGTCCAGCCGTTTGGCCAGCTATAGCTGACATATAAATATATTCGAGCGAAGAGCTTCATTATATAGATTAACAATTTTAAAGTAGTCATCACTTTAAAATGATTAAGAGAAAATTTGATTTAACATAAACCGGAAGCAACAAATCTTTATTTGGAAGGGTTTTGAAAGAAGGAAATCTACATTTGATGCTCTTTTGAAAAGGCCTTGGGCACTACTTTAATAATCTGCAAAAAAATTAGCAAATTTGCAAAAAATGAGCAAAAACAAAAAGCGCGGAAAATATGATAGGTTATACATTTTTGAAAAGCCCTTACCACGACTAATCCAGATATGCAAAATAAATCCAAAATTTTATAAAAACAAAACTTATATAAAAAAACATTAAGTGTGCAAATTCTCTTTACAGGCATCGTTGTAAAAATTGATCAAAATTTCTTCGCAAAAATTATGCCATCTGCTTCCTTTTGTTCAAGGCTTTTCAAAGAGCTATAAAAAGTCTAAATCTAATGACCGGAAGTAGGTCTAAATATAGATTTAGTCTGGTATACGTAAAATAAGGCATTCAGGCAGTAGGTATAAAAGCCCCGCTTTGAGCCTAAAATGAGGGGCATGTGTTAAGTTAGAAAAGTGATAAATATGAACAGCCTCAGACCAATACTTTTTGAGTCTTTTCCAAAAAACGTCTGAGAGGGGGGTCCCTGGGACCCCCCACCCCAGTCGGAATAGGGTTAAGGCCCAAAGAGAGAATAACCAGCCTCTGAAACTGTACATGGAGAAATTGTCGTATTTTTTAGAAATGAGCGAATTACTCGAGCTCTGCAAACTCTATTTAATATTTTACTTTTATTTTGAAAATATGTTAATTTTTTATGCATTCTACTATCCGAAGACCGTACTGCCACAGAATTTCTTCTGGAGGGTTTTTTAGGCTTAGGATTTACAACCCTGGTTGATCAAGAACTTCAGCTCCTTGATACTTCTGCAGACCCACATCCTTCGTACCAGCAACAAAAACCCAGCTATCACAAATAAACCAATTCACATTTAAAAATTTAGATCTCAGTTAAATTTTACCTAAAATGGCCATCCTAGAGTTTCTCGAGAAAAAATTAACGAAAAAAATTAACAATTTTATCCTGTTGAACATTGGCTTTCCTTGTTAATGTTTTTTTTTTCTTCATAAAAATTCAAACTAGTAAAAATTATAAATAATTTTAAATCACTAAAAAAATATTAGAAACCTCATAAAAAGTTGAATAATACGAAAAACTGTAATCTTTTGTAAAATATTTAGACCCAAAACATCTGTTATAATAGAAGTTGAGGAAACAATCATCTAAAGGATGAATCCTTAATATTCAACTTATTAATAATAACTTTCTAATCTTATTACTTTAGTACATGTAAATAATAAATAGTTGCGCGCATATTTTTTACTCACAACTTTTATATTGTCGCCAATAAATATATTTATCTCTCCTATTTTTATTCCCATTTGATGGTAAAAACAGACCGGACTTGGACAATGAAATCAGAAGAATATGTTTTTGTTCTTTATTAGCATTATCAGATATACAAATATAATCCAGACAAATTGAGAACAATTTAAAGTAATCCCAATTAAACCCGATTACTTTCAGGTTCAGTGGAAAAAATGTAAGAACCCGGTCGTATCATCTTTTGAATAAAATAGTGTTGTTAAAAATTGGTATTCAGAAATAAAATTGTAACTTAATTATTTTAAAAAGCATTGAAAGCTCTATTTTTAAGACTACAATAAATTATCTAACTAATTATGCGATTTCAGTTGTTACATAATAACACTGATTACGAGTCATTCTGGCTTGATGCAGATTTCTTGGAAAACAAAACTGCAGAAGATGGAATGATAAAACCCATAATGTAGATTTTATATTTTAAATGCATTGTAAATATCTATCTATATATAATGGTGAACAATTTAAATTTTTGATAGTTTCTAGTTGGTAAAAAAATGAATAAAAACTTTAAATGGCATTCTTAACACAGTTTAACATACAGTTGGTGTAAAAATAAACGTAAAATATTACATATGCTTTATCATGAGGTACTAATTAAAGGCACATAATAAATTTTTTGACACTGTACATTTATATCTCTTGTACTTATTTTTCCAGCTGTGTAATATCTCCCTCCTCTAGTTCCTTTAATCTCTTCCTCCTCTAGTTCCTTTAATCTCTCCCTCCTCTAGTTCCTTTAATCTCTTCCTCCTCTAGTTCCTTTAATCTCTCCCTCCTCTAGTTCCTTTAATCTCTTCCTCCTCTAGTTCCTTTAATCTCTCCCTCCTCTAGTTCCTTTAATCTCTTCCTCCTCTAGTTCCTTTAATCTCTCCCTCCTCTAGTTCCTTTAATCTCTTCCTCCTCTAGTTCCTTTAATCTCTCCCTCCTCTAGTTCCTTTAATCTCTTCCTCCTCNGGGGGGTTAAAACATCTTATTATAGAAGCAAGATTTTTTGGGAAAAGGCAGTTTGCTTCCCAGCTTCCCTCTACATAATGAACAGATTAAAACTGGTAAAATATCTTCTAGCCAAGGGCTAAGGGTAGACTTAAGTGATGTTACTGTTCGTCTTAGACGATTACCATATAAAGAAATCAAAAAAAATATCTAAAATCTATGATATCTGTACATAAACTGTTAATAATATGAATGCAATTACTTTTATTTTTTACCTAATTCTATCTGCTTCTCTCTCTTCCTCTTCATAGAACATGCTAAGGAAAGACCGCAGTTCTGCATATGAGAACCGAAGGTACTGAGCAACTTTGTGACTGAAAAAAATTTCTTTCGTAAAATTAGAAATTTGTAGGAATTATTTTGAGGGTTTTGATTAATTTTGATTAATTACAAAGATGTACAAATGATAAGTAAATTTTAAAATACCTGATTTCGTTGGTGTTTTCTTTATTCATCAAATAGATCTTAGCAATGTCCTCATGTGGACCAAGATTAACCCTAAAAAAAGAAAATCAAGATGGGACAGGATTTAATGAATTTGAGCTAGGTGTAGAAACAGTTCAACCACATATCTTGAATTGGTAATTCAGTATTTGACCATTTAAACTCCACATTAGCACTACAGATAAGATAGTGCATCGACTGAGCTCAAATTCTACATGAAGACATCAAAAGAATATAGTGCCAATTGACCTTTTCCCCATTTTTTCCCTAATATTACTCTTAATTAAACAAAACAAAACTTTTCCTACTTAAGCAATTATATCATAGATAAATAATCTTTATTCACTACTAAATTGGGAACTCAGCTTTACCTGGAAATCTAGACTTGCCCTACAGAAGTAAAAAAATAACTCATTTTGGAATTATGAAATAGTGCTTTTACAGAGTGTCGAAATAAGAATTTGAGGAAAATCGGTCATTGATCAAACAGAGATTACTACTTTATTTATATAGATTACTGCTACCTGATAAGTAAAGGATACTCTGTATCTGTAATCAGCCTCGTCTCCCCAGACTCCTTTACCACATAGAGGCCAAAACTACCAGCCTCAGAATCTATCTTGTACTTGCTCAGAAGGGAGGATAAAACCTCTAATCAATACATATCGAATATAAAAAAAACAGATCATAGAATTTGCATTTTCTATAGAAGCACCTTAATAAACTACTTCATGTTTCCTCATAGTACTGCAAAGTTAAAATTAGATTTTCATACTAGGATTTTCTGATTTCTTATTCCCATAACTTCAGCAAATACATTAGAACTTAATTTTAATTGACTTGAAAATAGTAATGACTAATGACCATTGACCAATGTTTAATGTACTGTTTCCTTGTGTTGACTGCAAGCTGGTTGTCCAAACTGACATTGCTGAGTGTTTTGGAGGAGTAAACACTTAACAAAAAATATTACTTAGAATCACATGATCTAACTAATTATGTGATCTTCACCAAATTGAAGCTTTTCATTAATAACCCTTAACACCTTATTTTTTTTATACATAACATGATAATTGTTTTTATAATTTTGTACAAAATCACACAACAAAATTATATTTCTCATTTGAAATGTAAATATACTTTTAAGGTGCAAAAATTCAGCTTTGAATATTGCTTTTCAAGCCTTTTTCCCCCTTTTAAATCTTGACACTTTCAGCCTTTTTGATTGTTTTTTGGATGCAAAAGACGAGCTAAATATATTATGATATTTTAAACTAATCTATGGAAATTACCTGAAGTTTCTCTATCATACCAGTGGCCATTTATACTACTTCTTCTTCTTAATCTTGTCATTTTCTTTCCTCTTCTTCTTAGTGCCCGTGGGCCTTTAGATTTCTTCTCCTCTTCTTCAGTCTTCCTTCCTGTCAACATTACGAAAATTAATTCAAAGTAAAATGTTAACTTCTGAATTACAGAAATTCAAATTTATAAATAAAACTCTTGAGGTATTTTGAGGTGAAAATATAACAAGATAAATCTAAGATGTTAATTTTCTAGAATTATCCATTCTTTCAAGGAGATGGGTGGCCGTCGCGGGGGGGGGGGGTTTACCTTCAAAGTACTTTTTTCCTTTTAAAATTATCCCTATTCAGAGAGATCCTGACACATGTTGAAAAAAATTACTTGTCCGGGGAAGGGGGCGAAATGATTTTTCAAGATAATATATCTATTATATCTATTATAAGGAAAGCACCGTGAATAATTCTATATAAAATAAACCTCAGATAGATATAGAATGTGCTCAATACTTGCCTTTAGACCTGTTGCTCTGAGGTAAACTCCCTAGTGGTTTGACATCAGCTGAACTGGAGTCCTTTAAGCATTTCTAAATTTATTACTATTTTCAAAACAGCTGCTCAATACTCATAGCAGTTTGAATAAGAAAAAAGGTTTAGCTCTAGATGTAAAAAATAAATAGAAATTGTTAGTTCGAAAATAGGGCTTTGACTTAGCAATACTCAAATTAAGGACTTAAGGTGATAAATAACAGTTTGTTGGATAGGAGAAATTGTCAATTGTTAAGCTAAATACCTCCATGGAAGAATTACATCTCGATGTGTAGAAACCCATCTTGAAGGCCATCTTAGATCTTTTACTATTCTCTAAATTTTCCTTGTTCTCAAAATTATTCACATCTTCAGAGCTTTCAAAAGTTTTAATGTTGGGCAAATTTTCAGAGGAATCAAGAACGTTAGAATTGTCCAGACCATCATTATTAGATTTCAAGTCTTCAGTGTCCTTCAAGTTGTCATTAACCTCAGATATCTCAAAAGCATCAGATTTATCAAGAACATTTGAATTACTAAGCACATCGATGTTATCAAGAGGATCTGCTTGATCAACCACATCTATGCCTTGAAGAGTGTTGGAATTCTGAAGAATATCTTGGCTCTCAAAAAAAACAGAGTTATCAAGATCCAGCGTTTCCCCCTCAAGGTCATGAATTTTCATATTTCTAGATTTATCATTAGTTATGTCAAGTACACCAGACTCAAGATTAATGGCTTTTGATGTGGCAGTTTCACTCCCAAGATCTTGTGTACAGGTATCTCCGAAGTTTGGCAGATTTCCATTCAATTCACTAGAGAAAATATACAACTTACGTTTAAGCTTATGCATTTTAAACAGACGTTGTAATTAAAAGTGACACTCCATTTAAAACGAGACATGTCAAATTTACATCAGTACCCTTAAACATTTATCTTATTAATAATGTGGTAGATATCGTCGTTTATTTGCTTACAAATGTTTAATTTCGACATGTTCCGTCACAGTTTTTCAGCGGTATCCGCATGCCACATTTTTACAGAGCAAAATTTGAGTTATTTAGTTTTCTTGGTCAGACAAAGCTTTAAATCGGTAACATTGTGAATTGTTCATTTAATTCAACAAATAGAGGGTTAGTTGAAGTTTTTAAGACTAGAGCTTGTAGTAAAGTTAGTTTAGTTGCAACTTTCCTGATTTCAGAATTAATAATATCACAGTCAGTCTCTCCGTCCTCAGTCTCATAGATCTCGCTAATCTCATTAATATTCTTGGTTTCATCATAATCCACTAGCTTGTTCCTAGCTTTAGGTTTAACAGTTTTCACACTCATGGATTGACTCCGAAGTAAGTTAGTCCTGTTTTAATTCAAAATGTTATTTTATTTTATAAAAACAAATTTTCAAGCGGCAATAACAGTGAATTCAACATTGCGTAGTTTAATATAAAATGTGAATTTTGAATTCCCTGGATGATTGTTTTATTGGATTATCTTCTATAAGAGATTCTAGTAATTGCAGATTCATTTCACCGTTGCATTCTGAAAATATGTCAATCATGTTTATATCGTTGACACTCAAGATTTTTAAAAACTAATCACGTTTTCTAAATCTGATGTATCAGTCTTTTTTAGATTCAATAAAAAAATTTGTATAAAGAATAAACCATTTCTAATATATGATTATAAAATGAATTTGTCTCGAAAGACAAGAAAAACAAAACAAAAAATGAATTTAATTTTCACCTGTATCTAGTCTACTTAGTGTCTCCCATTTTTGAAGATCCGAGTTCCCTGTTTCCGAGTTGAGTTCCCCCGGAGGGAATCCGAGAGATAAATCCCCCGGGGGCAGATTGATGGAGCATTCACCAAAGGATGGAAAACATTCGTCCTCCGAGACTTCATCCTCAACTTTTATGTTTTCAAACTCAAAACCTGAAAAGATAATTAGAGATTGAAATAAAAAGAAAATGAAGATTTTATGCGAATTCAGGCTTTATGTAACAATCTTGTCAGAATTCGAGGATAGATCATATTTTGATTTTAAAAGCAGAATTGTGAATAGTGAACATAACGACTTAAAGTTTATTAAAATCCAATCATTAAACCACCCAACAAACTGACCTAATGAAAGTGCTTTCTTGTGTCTGTTGATAACCCTGTTATCCCCGTACTCCTTGAGTCTGATGCTGTACTCAGTCCCCCAGAATACCTGGGCAAATCAAATCATGAGATTGGGTTTAAACAAGTTAACCATCAAGAATACAGAACTTAAGTGTTGAGAATCTCGGGATCAAGCATTGATCTCCATCTTACGAAGAAATTAATTCATAATCGATGGTAATCGTACAATGCAGGGAAGTATGGCTATAACCCTCAAATTAGAAGTGCTCAAATTTGATATCGAGATGAAGAGTTCAAAATTAAAGATATTCCAAGTTAAAGTTCAGACCTATGCAAAAATGAAAAAATTTAAATCAAATAAAGTCTTTCAGAAACTGTTAAATAAGAAGTTTCATTAACTCCTAAATCTTATGAATCAAAAGATTCGACTCAACTTATTATGTTTATGCATCAGCTGATGCCAATTTACTCATCTCTTTCTAGTCGAATTTGATAGTTCCTAATCTGTTATTGATCCAGATTTTAAACTTACCTAAATTGCGCAAAAGATTGAACTCTAAAATAACTCCTCTTATTAAAGACTAAAGAGCTATTTAGAAGAACAAAAATGTTTAAATTTTTTAAATGTATCAGGAAAAATTGGATTTTATGTTTTAAATATTTAAATACCTTGAGAACTCCCTCTAAGAGAAGTCTCTGATTAACCTCTCTTGATGACAGATGGCACCGAGGAGTGGAATGATAAAATCTAAAAATTGGAAGTTTTTTAAAAATAGAATGTGAAAAAAATTGTTTACAAATACATTCTACAAATTAATGTTTCCTTGGCAAGAACAGTTTTGGAATTGTTGAAAATATTAATAATTTTAAAAACTTCAAATTTTATTTTAGTGTAACTAAAATACTGAAAAAGCTGGTAGCTAACCTGTTGTACTCTTTAACCTTGTTGCTAAGCTCTGTCTCAAGTCTAATGAAACTCTTGGAGCGCTGTCCAAAACTCCTGAAACAAATATTTACTTGTTATTCATGGTTATTATTGGTTTCGATTTTATTGGATAAAAGATTGATTGTTGGTAATTCTTAAATTACATTGTTTTCATGTGTTGAATCGATCATCTTGAATGCTTGAGCTCGATATCCTGAGCGGGCGCTTAAAATTTGAGAATAAATGCTTAATCCCTCAATTAAAGTTATCCCTGCAGGGTATGACACCTACGGGAGCTCGAAGAGGAATTAAATTAATCCATAGGTCTGCCTAAGATGGAGATCAATGCTTGAGTCCAATATTCACAATACAAAAGTTTTGAATTTCGATTAAGTAAGTCTCATAATGTGAAAAACATCTTGAAATTTTTTTTCAAATTTCAGAAAGTTTCAAAGAATCAAACTTAATTTAAAAGTTATCCATTATCCAATGTATAGTGGCCGCGTCGTTCCTTCCGGTTTTATCTATGAATGTAATATCCCTATAAGACTTTACCTATGAGATTCAGTGGTTGACCCGTGTCCAAACAGCTGAGGTCCGAAAAGGGCAGCGTAGCAGGGAATATGGCAGTAAGGTGCCGATTTATGCTGAAATCAGTAAAATGCAATTTAGAAGTTTATGTATACATCTTTGTTTCCGTATTTTTAGTCATTAGCAAAAGTAAAGCACCCGGCGTTTACCGTGGCATTCTAAAAAATCGTCTACTAGATGACTTGGCAGAAAGCAAACCCCTATGTCAAAGCTTTAAACGGCCATTAATCTAAGGTATAATTTTACCACACTCTTGGGATATTTACCTCGGTATACTGTCCAGGATTGAGCACTTTACCACACTCCTGGGATATTTACCTCGGCATGCTGTCCAGGATTGAACACTTTACCACACTCCTGTGATATTTACCTCGGCATGCTGTCCAGGGTTAAGCACTTTACCACACTCCTGTGATATTAACCTCAGCGTGCTGTCCAGGATTGAACACTTTACCACACTCCTGGGATATTTACCTCGGCATGCTGTCCAGGGTTGAGCACTTTACCACACTCCTGTGATATTTACCTCGGCATGCTGTCCAGGGTTAAGCACTTTACCACACTCCTGTGATATTAACCTCAGCGTGCTGTCCAGGGTTGAGCACTTTACCACACTCCTGGGATATTTACCTCGGCATGCTGTCCAGGGTTGAGCACTTTACCACACTCCTGGGATATTTACCTCGGCATGCTGTCCAGGGTTCAGCACTTTTCCGCACTCCTGGCACTTCAAGCAGTAAGGATGCCAATCATATCCCAGGGATTGACGTCGTTCAGCTAAAACAGGTGTTAACATTAATTCAATAGGTTAAACTTGAACTTTCAAGGTTTATCCAATATAACAGATTTATAGATTTCTTAAAACAAGGATTTCCACGATATTAATCAGTTTTTATTAGATCAATATTCATATAATCGTAATAAATTAGTGTTCTTTGTCTCATTTCAGTTCTTAGTTTAGGACTATAATATCAATTATTAAACTCACCGAAGAACACAGGTTTCCTGCAGCTGTTGCAAATCCACATTTTTCTGATTCATCTGAAATATAAGAATACAAAGATACAAATACTCCAGATTTAGCAGAAAAGAAAAACATCACAATAACTATAATTTTTGAACGGAAACTAGAAACTTCTGATAAGAAAGTCAAATTCAAATTCTTGTTTTTATATTAGATAAATCTTATTACCAAAAGAGTTGTAAATATGGTGTAATTTTAAAAATATTTATTATCACAGATTAGTGGGTGCTATCACACAAATACATAATTATTACATCAATTTCAAATGTCACGTGAAAACTACTGAATATAACACGCACTTCTAAGTTCTAACTGTAGTCATTAACAGCCTTAGAAAGGAATTGAGTCATATAGCCACAAACTAAAAATTTATAATCCCAATATCTTTGCAACATGATGGTGCAAACCTTTGATATTTCAAACTTAAGATTTTTTGCTCTCACAAAAGTCATAGTTTGAATTATCTTACGTCTATGAACTTGGGTTACAAAAATATAGGGATAAGAAAATCATAGTTTGTCGCAAATACTGAATCCCTTCGCCATGAGATAATTTTGTTAAAAATACTATTTAATTATAATATCGATGTCTCAAGTTAATACATGAAGTCTATACATATAATATTTGTGTAAACTATTTCATGTAGGCTAAACCAATATTATTTATAAACTCCTCCATGCAGCTGCAGCTAGTCAATACTGATATTTAATGTCTAGTACTTCATGTAAACATCAGTTATTGCTCCTGATCCAGGGGTATACATATACATGTAGGCTAAACCAATATTATTTATAAACTCCTCCATCCTGCAGCTAGTCAATACTGATATTTAATGTCTAGTACTTCATGTAAATATCAGTTATTGCTCCTGATCCAGGGGTATACATATACATGTAGGCTAAACCAATATTATTTATAAACTCCTCCATGCAGCTGCAGCTAGTCAATACTGATATTTAATGTCTAGTACTTCATGTAAATATCAGTTATTGCTCCTGATCCAGGGGTATACATATACATGTAGGCTAAACCAATATTATTTATTAACTCCTCCATGCTGCAGCTAGTCAATACTGATATTTAATGTCTAGTACTTCATGTAAACATCAGTTATTGATCCAAAGGGACATATTTTCTAACACGCTTTTCCCACTTTTAACATTATGAATAAAAGCAAAGTCTTTTAAGAGAAGTTTGAAATAAACCAAAGTCAAACTTGAGGTAATTTCGGAATATATGAATTATAGATTTAATTTAACCCAAAATATTGGCCGAATATTTTCGATTTTCGAGATTGCACACTTTCGAACAGCTGAGAGTAGTGATGTCCTGTTTCTAAGTAGTGACTCCTTAAAATCTACAATATTCCTCGAACATATATCCTTCTGCACACTTATATGAGGATCTACTCTGTGAAGTCGATATCGATGTTGTTTATGAAGTTATGGAGCAGGGTGTGCCACAGTTCGGGGGCGTCCAGGTAGGCAGGATGACCAGCTCCCGGCAGAACCTTTATAAAAAAATAAATCTTTAAATTCAGATACAAAGTAATTGACCACTTTACATAATTTTCTAATTTTCTAATCCCTATATCTTTGCAACCTGATTGTATACACTTTAAATATATATATAAAAAAACTCATTATAAAAATAAAAAATAATAATTATGAAACGTAACAATTCCAAAACAAAAATTAAACAGATATTTAGAAGCTTTTAAAATACTTAAAATAACGCTGAAAAAGGACACACACAATACAGACTAGAAAAACAATAAGACCTGTGGCAGAGTCGATTTCGGCAATGCAGATAAATCATCACGTGACCTAAAGAAAAACTAATAAATTTTACTCTTAATAACATCTACAATCTTTTTCATTTTAAACTCATTTCGAATCTTTCTAACAACAAGGTTTAAAGCGGCCATCTTCTTGGGATTAAATGTTGCTTTTTTGTTGCTAATAATGGCAATACAAAATTGAAGGCAAAGAATCAAGTCACAAAGACATTGCCTTCACGTTTTTATTTAATTCATTTACCAGCTCTGAGCCGGATTTTGAATAGTAAAGATTAAGATTTAGAATTTGTATTTACCAACTTGAAAATCAGGTTTCCAGGACAAGAAGCCCTGAACAACTGAAGAGAAATCATCAATATTTATAAAGGCCCGATTGAGGAAGGAGGGAAAGGACAATTTAGGGGGGGGGGGGGGGTATTATTTGCAGATCGTGTTTACTGATCTTATCACTGATAAGAATTAAGATGAAATCAAGTTGTATCATATTGTAAACCTTGGAGTATGTAATGAATACAGATATCAACTATCAGAAGAGATAAGTATGATTAGCATATAAAAAATTGTAAATGATAATACTAGTGAAAGACCAGAGATACTAGTGAAACACCAGAACTACAAGAAACTTGATAAAAAGATATACTCTTAATTACTCCAAAACGAGTTGTGAGATATATTAAGAGCTAATCGCCAAAACTCAATCTGGAATTATAAAATAATTTGCATCTCTCTTTGTATTAAAGTACTCTCAAATGCGCTCATCAACCCTTAAAGTACATACTTTTCGGTTTTAAACGTGGGCGAAGTAATGAAATTATCATTGTTGTTTATTCAGAATAACTGGACACTCACGCTCACCCCGCGCGGTCAGGGGCGTATGCAGGAATTTGTCCGGGAAAGGAGACTTAACGTCTTTCACGTGTCCAATAAGAGCCGTTCTGAGGGTCGCTATTAACAAATATTCTAACAGCAATTCTGTTCGGTTCCATACTCAATAATATTTTGCTAATGTATTACTAGATTTTCACCCCTCTTTTACTATATTTTCACCCCTATTTTACTAGATTTTCACCCCTCTTTTACTATATTTTCACCCCTCTTTTACTAGATTTTCACCCCTCTTTTACTAGATTTTCACCACTCTTTTACTAGATTTTCACCCCTCTTTTACTAGATTTTCACCACTCTTTTTAGTGTTGACTGTTCTTCTTTGTCTTGCACCAAGTCATGACAAATTACTCAATGGGCACTAGGCATTGGGTTCCTTAATCATTGTGACGATAGGGCAAGAACAAAAACACATAAGCTTGGTTTCAACGCGTCGTCTTCATATTCCAGATTATTCTGGTTAATACTGCAATAATTACCCTTTACCTGTATCCTAGTCCAGTATCCTTCTCCCCATAGACAATCATAGTTGGAGTAAATATTGAAGAATAGAACCCACTAGCTTGGGAGGTTCCTACAGGAGCTACTGGAACCCACCTATACAATACATAGCTGGAGTTTATATAGAGGAATCGAAACCACTAGCTTGGGAGGTTCCTACAGGAGCTACTGGAACCTACCTATACAATACATAGTTGGTGTTATTACTATTATAATTAACAATCAACCTACAGACAAAGTACAAAGTATATATAGAAGAATAGAATCCACGGTTCAGCTACATTTTGCCTAGTCACAATTTGCTTAGTCAAATTTTGCCTAATTTAGCTTTGCCTAGGTAACAATTCGCCTTGGTAACGTCTTGCCTAGTTCAAGTTTGCCTAGTCACATTTTGCCTAGGGTAACATTTTGCCTAGGGTAACATTTTGTCTAGGTAACGCAAGAGCATACTTTTTGCCTTTTTCTTTTTTTCAAATAGATTTAGTCAGAAATGAAAATTTTTTCAAGCTGAACCAGTTAAATTTAAATGAATTTAATGTTATAGGACAATTGAATTGCATCTTGTCCACATTCCAAAAAACATAACTCAAAACCTATAAAATGATTAAAAGTTTTTATTCTCCTCTACGGCAAAATTAGCGTGTATTTATTCTATAAAAGATAAAACATCTTTCGGCATGATATGGTATGGTAGGAAACTGAATGATTTTTAAAAAATTGCATAGTTTTTGATGACAAATTTGCAGATTTTTTGAAAATTTTCTTTGTGAAAAAATTATTGACTAGGCAAAAAATTCGCTCATATGTTACCCTCGGCAATATGTTACCTAGGCAAAATTTTACCTGGGCAAAATGTGACTAAGCAACATGTAGCTGAGCCGAACCCACTAGCTTAGGAGGTTCCTACAGGAGCTACTGGAACCCGATTTTACAATAATCGGTGAACCTACCCTGAGATGAGATCTCTGTTCTCCTTGTTTGACAGCATAGGTATGATGAATCCCCCGCTCATGGAAGGTGTAATGATGATGGGTTGGAACCCTGCCAATCCGGAGATCAGCTTAGCCAAGAACTCGCCATTATTCCGCACCCGAGCCTTTATATCAATAGTTAATAATCAATAACAGTTAAATGAACTTGCTAAAAATTTCGAGAATATATTGTGAAAAAAAGTCCAGTTACAGATTTGTTTTTTAATTTACCAGAAACGGTATCTAATATGTAATAATATATAGCGAAGCTGGGGGGAGGGGAGGGGAACATGTTTAACCTTGAACAAGTTTACAGACCTCTTTGCTTTTACCATATCCAGGTAGATCAACTGCAACAACACCGTGACCCAGAGCAGCAAGGGTAGCCAAAGTTGGAACCTAAATTTTATCAATATTCTTACTTGAATTTAGAAAATATTTGACAACTCATGATTTTTTAATTTACTGGTAGTTGATTACTTGCCTTCCTTCAATCCTTCCATACTTATTAAAATATTTTCATTTCATAGAATTTTTATTTTTTTCTGAAGATTTAGAATTTTTGCTTACTATGGCAGGTTAATTGGTCAGGGGAGCCCATTAAATGATAAAAAATTAGAGAAGTAAAAATCTACATATGATTGAACCTTGTCTATCCAGGTTTGAGATGTGAAAGCAGCGCCGTGGAGTAGTAGAACAGTTTTACCAGTTCGAACCACACCGTCAGGAGGACTAGCAGACTATACAATAATCGTTCATTCATTCAGTTCTTATTATGTGTTAGAATGACTAGTAGACTAGCAAATCAAATCAAGGGGCTTAGAATACCCAAGAATATTGAAATATTGTCAGTCCTTCCACAATGCTTTATAAGGACTAACAGACTAAGCAATATTATTTTTTAATCCAGCGAAATCTTGGTGAAATGTTGTCCTTTCCTCACCAATTTAATCATTTTGAATCGTTTATATAACTAGTGCTAAAGAACAGAAAATGTCAAGTTTCAGTGAAATACGCTTTTCTAAAAAATTAGATTAAAAACCTGGTAAAATATCTGTGCTCCATCCACATCTATAGTGTCTTGGGAAATATCAACTTTAGACCTGAAGATTAGATGCAATAATTTCATTCAAAAATGGAAATAAGAAATAATAAAACATCTGCTTACATGATATCTTTGAGGTTTGATGGAAGAGGAACGGCTTGTAAATCTACTGTTCTCCAGTTCACACTGTCCGACCTAACAATTCAAAGTTCAATTTAACAAGAATTTTTAAAAAGAATCTTAGGACCACATTACATCAATGTGACGACGGAAAAATGAGTCTTAAGATGAGAATGTTCCATATACGATTTACAACAGTGACCGCTTTAACCAGTTGTAAAAATTTTAAAGATGGAGATATCTTTAATTTCAATGAGGCCGCAGTTTTTCTAGAAAAAAGGTTGTCCTATTCCAGCTCCAATCCTCGGAAATTGTTGACAACATTAAATTATTTTTTTATAACATTTGTTATCAAATATTTATACCTGACTCCTATGAGTATAAAAAGAACAGCAGCAGTGAGAAGCCCGACTGCTCTCCATGAGGAAATATTTAGCGCCATCTTGAAACAATTTTTGCAATACTACACTAGGCACGCACAGACATTCTACTCTGTAATTATGATGTCTGAAGGCGCAACTATATTGTGTACATGTGTATAACAGTTAAACTAAATCTAAGTAATAATCTTTTCCAAAAGAAGATATCTGATGCAACCCGCTCGATTAAAAAGTCTTTTAATTAAAGTTAATGAATCTAAATGTTTTCCTTAAAAAAAAATAGAGGAAAAAAGAAGAAAATTGTTGTATTGAAAATTCTTTAGATATTTCGAAAAAAAACTGTCAAGAGTTGTGGTGTTAAGTTGGATTTTTATTAAATTTATTTTTCTAAAACTGGGTTTCGTGTAAAAATAACAGTGGTAATGGAACTAAAGAGGAAGCACTGCTTAAACCGTGGTTATTTACTTTGATTTAAACATTGGATATACTATCTGTACACTTTACATAAAATACATTTTTTACATAACAGTGATTAGGAAATTTAATCACAATAGTCAACTTCTTTTAATAACATTGCAAAGGAAGGCTAGAGATAATAGTGATGCATCAGAACATATTTTACAATGATGCATTACGGAACATATTATACAATGATGCATTACGGAACATATTTTACAATGATGCATTACGGAACATATTTTACAATTATGCATTACGGAACATATTTTACAATGATGCATTACGGAACATATTTTACAATGATGCATTACGGAACATATTTTACAATGATGCATCTGAAACATTATACAATGATGCATCGCGAAACAATGTAACATGATGCGTTAGCAAATATTTTACAATGATGAATTAAGAACATGTTATTCAATGACATTATCGGAATTGTTTTCAGTACTCAGCCACAACAAATTGGCGCAAAAGATGATTTTTTAAGTCAAGAGTTATCGCGATGCAACCAGAAATTACGTTCATTTTAATCTTATCAGAAAATATTCTTGATAAATCTTCTATTCAAATGCATCAATAAAAGGCCAATGCTCAGCTCGAGCACATGGGTGAATATATGGAAAATATTTGTGAGTATGATTTTTAACAAAAATTTCAGAAAAAAAAATAGAAGAGAAGACGTATAATATCTATTTATTATTCTATATTGGGATATTAAACCCTTTAAGGTCCCGTATTCAACATGGGTAGGGGAGGGGGGAGTTCTGACGAGATAAATTTGTATATTTCTGCTATACAGGCCTAGTTAGTTAGGATTTGTAACACACTAAGGAGTATAATCTTATAAAATTATATTTATAATTGTTTAATTACGCACAAGATGCGGGACACGCAGATTTAAAATTAACAAATAATTGAACATAGAGAACTTTAGAATATTTATCTGAAATTTGTTCAGGTTAAACTGGTGAAATGTCGTCTTATCTTGTCCTTCCCTTACTGATCTAAGGATCTCATTCGTTGATACATTTCAGCCAGAGTATTCTGTCCGGTTCCGAGTCTTTCTCTATGCTCCTAATATAATCAATTCAGTTATTAATTCATTTTATCATAGTTTTTAGTATTTTAATAGTTAGTTGTTTGTTAAATGTTTTTCTCTCTTATAATTCTTTCATTTTTTATTTTTAGCTTAACAATTTTTAAATTTTTAACATACTTAATGATTATCAAGTTCATCAATGTTTATTAAAGACAACGGCATTCTATAAAAGTGCCTACAAGCGACATCAAGAACAAAAATATTAGTTATGCTTTTGTGTAGTTTTACCTGTAAAACTCGTTCCCGCATTTCCATAGCCATTCGTTCTCTTTCCCGCTCCCGCTGTTCCGCCATTATGCGTTCCCGTTCCCTTTGCTCTGCTAGCATTCGCTCTCGATGTTCCCGCTCACGTTGCTCCTAAAACAATATATTGGAATTATTTTTTTTTAATTCAAAGAAATTTTTACACAATAAGCGCTAAAAATGAAAACCTGAATTTGTCTATCCCTCTCTGCGCGTTCGCGTTGTTCGATGAGAACGCGCTCCCTTTGCTCTAAAAGCATTCTCTCTCTCTGCTCCTAAAAGCAATAAAATATTTTGTTGTCAGGATTTAATTGAGAGCTACCATTATCTCAAATAGATTGTAAAGTACAATAGATGGCAACGTAGAATTTGTACGCTCTCACTACAGCTGTATTCTAACGTCACAAGTGTCAACTCAGTATTGTGTCCGACAAAATTTTTAATAGTAGTGATAATTTTAAAATAAAGAGCTTATCTTACAGTGAAAAAGGTGAAATTTTATGTGTTATTTATTTTCTGTTTTTACACTTTTTTATTTATCTTAAAAAACATGTCAAATAATACGAGAAAATTTCGTTTTCCTTGTTATATTTGACACTTGTGACGTCGTGTATAATTGATCCATTTCTGTTGCCACCTATTGTACTTAATAATCTATTTGCCATTTTGGGTGCTTAAAGCAAGATAAACAAGAGAGAAGAAGAAAACTTTGAACAGGAAAAATTAGAAGGGGATTTGAGCTTTACATTATCTATTTTTTTCACCGATAACGAATAAAGACAAATACAAATGGCAGACGTCCCATCCCCCCCCTCTATGTCCTACTCGAGATAAAAAACACTGGAAAATGTGTAAAATGCCCCCTCACCCCTTCCTTCAAGAAAAGCTAGGAATGCAAGAGCTGACACAGTATCATGACTGAAGCAAAATTTAAATACAAACAAGGGAGAGAGTAACCTTGCCACTCTCAATATATAGAATATAGATACAGGGCTCCAAAAAATAGTTCTGCCTCTGCAATTTGGCTAGCTGCAGAAAACATCCAAAAAATTCATTTATTTTTATTTTCAAAATTAGCCAAAGTATGATTGAAGGTTGGACAAGGAATGGACGATCAAGAAGAAAGAATGAAAAACAAGAAATATAGAAGTTTCAAAATGTTTCCATCTGATATCATATTGAAATTTAAAAATATGTAAAATTTAATTAGAATAAAATTATTAAAGTTAAAAATATTTGCCATTTTCTAGTAACAAAATAATTAAAGAATTCTATCCATATTTCTGAATTAATTCTTTTTTAAGAACACAACTTCAGACTGCGGGGGGGGGGGCACCATCATTTTACCTGGAAATATCTTTCATGCTCTGACATTCTCTGTTGGTCTGGAGGCATATATTTCTGCTCAACCTGCTCCGGAATCTGGTATTTCATACCCTCACTGATACCATTATAAAATAAATTCCAGTTTTTATACAGAAAAATATATGAAGAATATATAAACATAATTCCGAACTCTCTTATCTGAGTGAGTCAAATATATTTCATTTTACTTATAGCTTTCTTCCTTTAAGTCTATGCTATATTTCGTCAATCCTTTAAGGATAAAAATATCAATAAAAAAACTTTTAATTTTAATTGACCTGATATCATTCTGAATAGCGTGCTGAATAAGACTTTGTTCCATACTAGAACCAACACCTAGATCCTACAAAATAAAGATCAATCAATCAACCTGTAAATATCACTTGGTTAATCTGTCCCTCAGTTAATCAATCAACCAGTTAATCTATCACTCAGTTAATCAATTGACCAGTTTATCTATCACTCAGTTAATCAATCAACCAGTTAATCTATCACTTAGTTAATCAATAAAACAGTTAATCTATCAATCATTTATTCAATCCAACAGATATTCTATCACTAAGTTAATCAATCAACCAGTTAATCTATCACTCAGTTAATAAATCAACCAGTTGATCTATCACTCAGTTAATCAATCAACCAGTTAATCTATCACTCAGTTAATTAATCAATGAGTTAATCTATCACTCAGTTAATCAATCAAACAGCTAATATATCAATCAGTTAATCTATTACATCAATAAACCAGTTAATCTATCACTCAGTAAATAATTCAACCAGTTAAACTACTATTCAGTTAATCAATCAACCAGTTAATCTATCACTCACTTAATCAATTAACCAGTTAATCTATCACTCAGTTAATCATCAACCAGTTAATCTATCATTCAGTTAATAAATCAACCAGTTAACCTGTCACTCGTTAATAAATCAACCAGTTAATCTATTACTTAGTTAATAAGTCAATCAACCAATCAGTTAAACAATCAACCAGTTAAACAATCAACTAGATTATCTTCATACTAGTTAAACAGTTAACCAGCTAATCTATAAACCAGTTAATTTATTAATAGTTAATCTATCAATGGTTAATCTATCAACCAGTTAATCAATAGCCAGTTTATCTATCAACCAGGAAATAAATCAACCAGGTAGTCTATCAATCAACAAAGTCGAAAACAATCAATCGCTTGACCCATAAACTGACTTTAAATACAGTTTAACCCATATCTCCGGAGACATTAAAACAATTTATAGAATGTTTTTTTCTAACCCTACTGATAAAGGAATGATGCAGATATTTAGTTTTTTTGTATATAAATAATTATACAGAGATCTTCAAAACTGTTCCCGCATATTTCATGGCTTTTTACTTATTTTACAATTACTGAGATTTAGTTTTTATAGTATTAAACCCATTATAAACTTGTTAAGACGACATTTTATAATTTTTTTCGAAGTCTCCGAAGTTCTATTAAAACTGTAATTAAATAATATTATTCGATGCTGAATCAAATCTATTAGTCTAAGATGATTAATGTTTTACCCCTGTATGAATGCTATATTTGTTGTGCTCGTAGAGAGCTCCAAACTTATCCTCCCTCGGAGGCTTAACCTTCACGACCTCAACCTTTCCAACCTCCTCTTCCACAGCCTCCGGGTCATGCAGCTTAAAAAAATATGTTAAATAAAATATCTCGAATCTAAATTTTTTTATGACTTACTCGAGCAAAGTTTTCTGCCAGTGCTTCAGTTTTAGCTATCACAGCGGCTTCACAGGTTTCATGCATCTAAACATTTATGGAAAAGTTTAAGAAGTGGGAAATTATTTATTTCTTTCATTCAAATATTCTTAACTTTATTTCCACCCTACCCCACTAGGGTGGGACCAGGGGTCCATATAGTTCCATCTAATAGGATCCCAAATGTTGATTGATTGATATTAGTGGCAGAATTTAACCATGTTGTTATTGTAAACAATTGGAAGTTTGATGTCAAGTTGTAGAAAACATTTCATACTGCAGAAAGTACACATTTCTGAAGTGTAGTACACGTAAACAAAAACTAGGTAAAGTTCACAATGACACAGAAAGTGTATTTTTATGCCCCTAAATGTATTTTCAACCCCGATTCCATTTGGGATCAGAAATGGAATTATATGGACCACTGGGGTGGTTGTGTAAATTCTAAAAAATAATATCATTTGAAACTAAATAAAGGTTTTGTAAATTCTGTATTCTAATGTACCTTGTACATATCTGGGTACATGTCTTCAAGCTGCTTAATAGAAGTATTAGCTGAGCAGTGTCGTTTCTCTATGTGTTGTTTTAAGTTGTCCTTCCGACCAGATTTAAATCCGCAGATCGGACATGCAAATGGAGTTGCCTGAAACGTTACAAATGATATGTTGAACGCATATTTTTTATGTTTAATATTTATATCAAAGTGAATTTTACCTTAAGATGTGATTCAATATGTCGGTCCAAATGATTTTTCTTATTTGTCTTGTAATCACACATATGACACCTAAACGAATAATTTCTGAAACTAAAAACCAAAAGTATTCCGGACTGTAATAAGCATACAAATTAAATGATGTCCAAAGAAAAGATTTTTTTAATATAGATGAAATAAAACCAAGATGGCCGACCTGAATGCAAAAATGCCGCGATGTCCTTTCTCACAAAGTCTCGCTTCTGCTGCTCGTCTAAAACGGAAGAAAAATTTTAAAAATGTCATGTTTCAATTCATGTAATAGTTTAGTTTAAATTAAATTAATTTCGATTAAATTCAAAAATTAGAGTTCATTTCTTTTTTGCATCACCTGAATTTCTTGGCGCACCCTGTACAAGTAAAATTCATCTCGCCAGTATGATGGGTTAAATGGACAGTCAACTCAGATCGATATTTAAACCTAAAAAGATTTCAGTAAAATTTTAATAGTAAGATTTTAGTATGGATCAATGTTAAAGTTTAAGTTTTAAATTGTGCACGATCTAGATAAAGTATATTTTATCTAATAACGTCGGCGCCTACTGGCCAATATATTATTGAGAAATAAAATTTGTAATTCCCCTGAGTCTAAAATATTAGGAGAATACTTACTCCTTCCCACAGTGTTCACAAGAGAAATTCTTCTCGTGTTTATGTGTATGCACAGTTCTAAAAGTTAACGATTTAAACCACTGGATAAAATAGATAACATTAAGCCTGGTTCACCGAAAGAAAGTAATTCTAAATTACGAAAGAAGTAATTCAAAAAAGACTGTGAACCGCATCAAAAACCAATTCAAATGAATGAAAGAAAAAAGAATAATAACAATATTATCATCGTAATTTTGGCCAAGTACAGAGTGTCCCAAAAAACATGGGAATCAAGAGACGAATCCGAAATCGTCTTTGTAAAGAATTAACGTTGTATTACCTAATATCACTGGTCAAAATAAAGTTACGTCTGCTAGATTATATTTCATGTAAACGGTATAAGACTGTTTTGTTATTCTGCAAAACGTTGTATGATGTTCTGTAACATTTTTGTAAGAAAAACAGTGAAGAGGAACAACTGTACAGTTTTTTTTACAAGAATTTCTGATATTGCCAAGTACTTTACAGTATGCAATAAAAACATAAACAAACAAATTCTTAACTCTAGCAGACTGATTACAGCTTTCCTAGTAGGCATCACCATAATAAATCAAAAGATCATCTACAAGGACGGTATCAAAATCCTCATTGAATTCCCATGTTTATTGGGACACCCTGTAGATTAGGACAATCAATTCTTACATTTTTTTTTCCTACGAATTTTTTCTCAACCTACATTTTAAGTTTTTTTTTGCAAATCTGAACTTTCCTAACGTGCTGTTTCATATTGTTGGCCGTGATCAGGTTTCCGCAGATGTCACAAATTTTTTTCCGTTTTCGTTTATCACTTCCTCCCTCGTGAATCAGGTATATATGCTTCAAATACAACTTTTTCTTCTCAAAAACTTTGTCACACTCCTCCCAACGGCAAACATAGTTCCCGTGCTCGTCCCGTGTTATTGCGTCGAAATCTATTTTTATTCTAAGCAGGAAAAAAAATTAAACAAGGTAAAACATCAAGGTTTTTTAATATTTATGATCAGATTAAATTATTCTTTTTTTCTTTTCTTTCTATCTAAATCCTTCTAAAGTTTTACGGATAATTCTCAAATGCTACTTATTTTTCAGCTCACCTCTCTTCCACACATTTTTTTATAGTTTGTTTTTCTGTTTTTGGTACTGAAGTTGCTTTAGTCCTAGGGGTAGATTCAAAAGTTAGACCAGCCTAAAAATAGAAACATAATAAAAATGAAAAAGAAAAAATTGTGTGTAAAAATATTTTTTCGCTGAAATTGATATTCTATTTGGATTTAGATTGGAATTTTACTCTAGGGTGAAAATTCCTTAAAGGAAGTGGTAGCTAAAATAGTAATAATGTATTTAATGATCATTATCAACTTACCGACTAATAATGTGTTTAATGATCATCATCAACTTACCGACTAATTATGTATTTAATGATCATCATCAACTTACCGACTAATTATGTATTTAATGGTCATTATCAACTTACCGACTAATAATGTATTTAATGATCATTATCAACTTACCGACTAATAATGTGTTTAATGATCATCATCAACTTACCGACTAATAACGTATTTAATGATCATTATCAACTTACCGACTAATAATATATATAATGATCATTATCAACTTACCGACTAATAATGTATTTAAAGATCATTATCAACTTACCGACTAATAATGTGTTTAATGATCATTATCAACTTACCGACCAATTTGAGACGTCATCATCTAGAGCTTCCGGATGTTTTCTCTTTATATGCTCGCGTAGTTTACTAACCTATATAATATTAATATTTATATACATCTAAACCGGGGTCGGGAATTCATAATTGAATATCCATAGTTTAAGAATTAAGTTATTGTTGCTTCATACAAAGCTCTGATTTGCAATACATATATTTTAACAACCCAATATCGTAGACCTTAAATGCTATCAATTCTATTATATCAAATAATCTAAATTTAAAATATCAAAGGTTTACACCATCCGGTTGTACAGATATAGAGATTAGGAAATTTGAGTTTGTGAAAAAGATTAAAAAGATTCAATTCCTTAAACACAGTTGAAGTTCTTAATTTAACATTTATTAGATGAAAAAAGTATTACCGCAATACCACAGTAACTGCATGTATTTTTAGCTCCGTGTGTTAGATCATGCTTTAACCATCCTTTTCTTTTAGCAAACACCTTTCCACATTCAGGAACCCTGTATAAAAATGTGTTACAGTTGAAAAAAACATTCAGGAATTATGTACGCAAATGTATTTTACACTACTGCAAACACATTCAGGAATCAGGATAACCAGGAATAATATAAATTGATTGGATGACTTACAAGTCTTCTTTGACCTTAAAATTAGCTTGCGGCATTCAGGTAACCTGATTATTATATAGCAACATTTTGTAATAAGAAAATAATAAAAAATGTGGTCTGCCACTTATTTGCACTCAAAAAATAGTAGATATTAAAAATGTTGCTTTAATTTCGATTTATTAATAAAACCATGAACATGACTTTGGAATTAACTTACTTGCAAATCCACCCACCAGGAACTTTAAGCTCTAAAGGAATTCTTCTCTTCTTCTTCTCAGGATCATAAGGAACACGAACAATCTTCTTCATCTTCCGGAATCTGTGTCCTGAGTCCCAACTTTCGTTACCTATGCATAAAAACATAACAACCAATATCCAAAAGCACCCCCCTTCCTGATTGAGGCGAGATTAGGTTTATATTCGGCTGGGGTTTTTTTTCATGTGCCTTAAGAATATGTTGTGCGTGTTTTAGCATAAAGACTTGAAGAATAATCATTATATTTTGAACAACACAAGGGTGAGAATTTTCTTTAAAAATCCCCCCCCCTTTTCCCCCAGATATAAGTGATATTTCGAGGAAAGTATTAAAAGCTTTGAGAAAAAAACTTTTCTTTTGACATCCATTTTTCAAGTTTTTTCGGCTCCAAGAGTATCAAATATCGTCCAAACAAATGTGTATGTATATTAATATCGGCCAAACAAATGTGTATATATATTAATATCAGCCAAACAAATGTGAATATATATTAATATCGTCCAAACAAATGTGTATATATATTATTTCTATCAATTTATAAAATTTTATGAATATTTAATCAAAGAATCACAGAAAACTCGCAAAATTGTAAAAGAAAATTCGCAATTTTCCCCCAGATATAAGTGATATTTCGAGGAAAGTATTAAAAGCTTTGAGAAAAAAACTTTTCTTTTGACATCCATTTTTCAAGTTTTTCCGGCTCCAAGAGTATCAAATATCGTCCAAACAAATTTGTATATATATTAATATCGGCCAAACAAATGTGAATATATATATTAATATCAGCTAAACAAATGTGTATAATTATATCTATTAATATCGTCCAAACAAATGTGTATATACATTATTTCTATCAATTTATAAAATTTTATAAATATTGAATCAAAGAATCACAGAAAACTCGTAAAATTGTAAAAGAAAATTCGCAATTTTCAGTTCTGGTCTAATTTTTAAGGAAAAGTTGGTTTAATGGCTCTTCAGGTTTCAACTGAACAGCGCATATTTATCACTTTAGAATAAACCATAAAGAAAGTAACTAGAGGATTTAAAGTACCTTTACTTAAAAATTATACCAGAACTGAAAATTGCGAATTTTTTATTACCATTTTGCAATTTTTTTTGTGATTCTGTGATTCAATCTTTATATTACAATTTGACAGAAATAATATAAATAGACATTTTTGCTTTTCTGCACTTTTGATTTTGAGAGAAAAAAAGGTTCGCGGATTTTTTTTTGGACCATATGAGTACCAGAAAAAATTAAAAATTTCCAAAAAATACTGAAAAAAAACACCACACAGAAGATTTGCACAAAAAAAGTACAACTTTGCACCAGGCGCCGCTAATCACACTTTTTTAATCACCATGTATATTTTGTTTGTTTTTTTGGACGCTTCTTTCTTAACTTTATTTTATCTTATTCGTGAATTTTATTGTTGTTTTTACCCCTATATTACCCTATATGTGCATAGCTTTATTTCGTTTGCATTTATTTGTTGTTTTTGTTTTTAATATAACATGACTATTTTGATTATGTTGTGGTTTCCAACAAAATATATTATGGCAAAAATGACAGTTGTTTAAAACCTAGGTGACTGGTTGGAGAGGGTACAATCATGAAATCAATGATTTTCAGAGAAGACCAACAACACTCTTCAGGGGTATATTTTCTTCAAAATCACTCCCCCAATTATGCAGAATTTTTTTTTCAATGTAAGGTTTTTTTTTGAAGGTTTCAGGATAATAGAAACCACTGTTGATTTATTTGACCTTCTACGTGAACGTTCTTTTCCAGAAGTCGAGTTTACAAAAAACCTGAGGTAAAATATACTTGAGAGAGTAGACTTAGCTTACCTAGATGTTCTTCGTCATTGTCTTGAACTATCTCCTGTTTAATGTAGGGCTGGTTGTCTTCAGTCTTCACGTACTTACTCTCAACATCCAACTTCACGTCTAGATAATTTGCAATACAGGGATATATAATTAATTGATTAATTAATTACAATGTTAGCATTAATAAGATTGAATTCTAGGCACAGACTAATTAAATATTGTTAAAAAATAATTAATCCGATTAGAATAATGACAACTTAAAGTTAATGAGACAAAAAGGTTACTAATGAATTTAATTTACATAAGACTAGCTTGAAAACCCAGCTTTGCACAGGTTACTCATAGGTACACTCGCCGTTTACCCGCACTTGATCGTAAATTACGATTTTTGCTATTTTTCCCGATAAAAGTCGACACACTCAATTTTGAATCTCAGAACCAAGTTAAGAACATTTCCGTGGTTCTCCCGAGTCGAGCTCTCCAAACAAACAAACAGAGATTACAACTTTATACATAGAGAAATATACATTTTAGATATTAAAAAAGTAATCAAAACAAACCTAAGAAACTCTCGATATCACCACTCCCAATATCAGTGAAGGGTAGTCCAGCTGAAAATAGTATAGATATTATTTATTGCTTCGTATGAAAAAAATAAAATGTGCCAATGAAAAAAAACTCAGAAGATTTATATATTTATATATATTCAATAATTAGGTTTTAACCTCACCTGAAAGATTTGTAAACCATTTATCGCAGATGTCGCAAACTCGTTTATTTACGGCGAAATTCGTGCAGTTTCTGTTAAAATATTTAACTTTCTTTCCGTTCTTAGTTTTCTTGATAAGGATACAACGGATTTCGTCCTCGAAAAAGCACTCTTTCACAGCTAAAATAATTTTTAAAAAGTCACGCCAAATTGACTAACTGGATTTTAAACAAATCTCGTATTTTTACCTAAAACAATATTTTCCTCAAAACCTCCGCAGTTTCTTCTGTCTGGAGTTATCAGGTTTTGTGTTTCAACCGAATCCTAAAAATAAAGATTAAATTTAATTTTTTAAATATTAATGTATCTGATGCTAACTACTACACCATCCATTGGGTCCAAAACATTCTAAATTTGTTGATTATTATGATTTATACTTTACTCCTGAACATGAAAATATTTAATAAGATATAATAATGTGTAAAACCTGAATTGTTTCAGCGGGAACAAAGACTGTCGCTTCTTTTCGTCCTATCTCGTCTATATCTTCATCCTCATCATCATCATCTTCATCGTCATCATCATCTCCTTCCCCTTCTTCGTCTCTCATTTCTTCTGTTCCTGGTTCACCTTCATCCTCCTCCTCTTCTTCTCCATCCTCTTCTTCTTCTTCTTCTTGGTCCATCATCTCTTCATTTGCTATGTCCTAATAAAAAAAATATAATTTACATTTACACAGGCGCATTGAAGTGGGGGGGAGACTCCTTTACCCCCCCCCCCCTAATTATAATGTGCACTCAAATTGGCCCTAAATGAGCCCTGCCCTGATGGTTGTCTAACGGGGAGTAAGAAAAGTAGTTGACAAAAAATGAAAAGTCACCGATCTCACATCATAGAGTATTCTCCCCCCCCTTTTCTTCCAAAAATACAAGAGTACCACCTATAAAAACTTACCTCAGCCTCTAGATCTTTGTCTCGTTGTTCTTGTTCCTTTTGTTCCTGCTGTCGTTGCTGAGCTTGTTCTTGTTCCTGCCGTTCTTGTTCTTGTTGATGAAGCCCCTGTTCTTGTTGTTGACCGCGTTCGTGTTCCTTCTGTTGAAGTTCTTGTTCTTGATCTATTTGCCTGTGTTGTTGGTCCTGAGCTTGAGGTAGGTGCTGATCTGGATCTAGGTCCAGGTTTTGAACCTGGTTCATGGAATATCCTGATGGTAGGAGCTGGTCCCCCAGACCACCTCCTTCCATTCTTTACTTTATACTCTGCAATATATCAAGGTAATTAGGAATGGCAACTCAAAATGTAATTGTTAAATCAGGGTAGTTTCGTCTATATTCGATTAATGGACAACTTTCATTTTCAAGATAAGGTTTACAGATAATCTATCTAGTGCAAAATAATGTTTGTATCTTTAAAAGTAAAATTCAATTTAGATTTACGCGAAAATAATTCATAATTAACATATAGTAACAACTGCTAATGTTATTTCACATTTTTTTCGTCAATTGATAACCTTTATAAGCCGTTTCGTTGTTTTAACATGTTATCTCCTAGGAGTATCTGAAAAATCTTGAGAAGAAGAATAAAGCTGTTACAAGAAAACATTCTCTCGGTGACATAAACGCCAAGGTAGTTTAAGTTAATTTGGGAAAAATTTCAACCTTCTCCTTTTCTAGAATAAAGGGAGAACATATTTTTGGATAAATTTTATGTGTTTGTCTTTTATATATAAACAATAAAAACCGAAAAACTCCGGAATAGGAAGTCGACTTTTAAACTCAATTTATGACTTTAAATAGTCCAATGAACATGAGGTCCAGCAAATGTGCAGTGTAAACAGAGCTATTTCACTTAATAAGTAATTAAATGAATTACTAGTAAAGCTATTTTCTTTGTAACAACATCTAATGCACCTCTGTATTGCTTTTATGTCTTCTTCCTATTCTACAGTTTTCTGGTTATCACTGTATTTAATGTGTTAGACAAATATTTTAAAAATCCACATCAATATTAACAGAAAAAAGATCACAAAATTCTTAGATTTACAATTACGGAGAAAAAGTACAATAACTAAAACTACTACAGTGATAACCAGAAAACTGTAGACTAGGAAGACGACATTTAATTGCAATACTGAAGTGCATTTGATCTTGTTACAAAGCAAATAGCTTTACTATTAAGTTATTAAATCATTTAATAAGTGAAATGGGTCTGTTTACACTGCAAAATTACTGTGCCTAATGTGCTTATGTTCATTTGACTATTTTAAGTCATAACTTGAGTTAAAAGTCGAGTTTCTATTCCAGAATTTTTTGGTTATCACTTTTTTTAAAATTGTTTTACAAGTAAGTGTGTATTAAATATGAGAATTAAAGGGATTGTCGAAATACAATTATGGTGCACCTCCATTAAAAAAGTTACAAACCTTATTCTATGTTCAGTAAAAATGATGAAAATGAACTTGTAGAGCTTAGGTATTTAAAATTATAAATTCTGTCAGATCGAATCTTATAAGTTTTTAAATAGCAAAGGGTTACACCGCAGGTTGTAGAGATATAGGAATTAGGAAATTTAAAATTGGCTTCTGGAACTCAACTTCACTATTTTCATAAAAAAATTATAGATTTCAAAAATTGCTCTCTAAATATTATAGATTTCAAAACTTGCTCTCTAAATATTATAGATTTCTAAACTTGCTCTCTAAATATTATAGATTTCTAAACTTGCTCTCTAAATATTATAGATTTCTAAACTTGCTCTCTAAATATTATAGATTTCTAAACTTGCTTTCTAAATAAAAAATTGAATTGTCTTCTGCACTTCTCTAATCTCTACTATACAAAAAGAAGAAAAAATCACTAAACATCACTAGGATGAAATTATATATTCTAGGATGAAACTATACATTCTGGAATGAAATATATATTCTAGGATGCAATTATATATTCTAAGATGAAACTATGTATTCTAGGATGAACAATATATTCTAGGATGAAATCATATATTCTGGGATCAAACTTTATATTCTAGGATGAAACTTTAATCCAGGATGAAACATATTCTAAGATGAAACTATATATTCTAGGGTGAAACTATATATTCTTGGATAAAACTATATTCTTGGATGAAACTATATTCAAGGATGAAACTATATATTCTATGATGAAACTATATACTCTAGGATGAAACTATATATTCTAGGATGAAACTATATATTCAAGGATGAAACTTTATTCCAGGATGAAACTATATATTCTAGGATGAAACTATATATTCTAGGATGAAAATTTATATTCTAGGATGAAGCTAAATATTCTTGGATGAAACTATATATTCTAGGATGAACAATATATTTTAAGATTAAACTATATAATTTAGGATGAAACAATATATATTCTAGGATGAAATATATAATCTAGGATGAAACTTTATATTCTAGGATGAAACTATATATTCTAGGATGAACAATATATTCTAGGATGAAACTATATATTTTAGGATGAACAATATATTCTAGGATGAAAAACTTTATAATCTAGGATGAAACTTTATAGTCTTGGATGAAACTTTATAATCTAGGATGAAGAGGGGAGAAGTGAGGAGGATTCTGATCTTCTCTCCCTTGCTAAGGTAAGGATGGAAGATGATTTATCTTCTNCACCCTTTCAGTTTCATCTTCCACTATTGATAAAGAGGAACAAAGTATTTTTAAATCCTAAAAGAGAGTGTTCTCAAAAATTAAAGATGGTGTAGGCTGAATCTGATTCAAAGCGTCTGTAAGGAAGAAATGGTTGAAAACGCTTAATATCACGGATTTCTCAAAAATATGATTGATGCGCGGCATTATGGACCAGTTGTGCATGAGTCAAATGTTGAAAATTTATGCATTAATTAATTACCAATTCAAAAAACCAATTTTTTCAATTTTCTCCATAGGTTAATTTGGTATTATAACTCCTTTTAGTTTGAGAGAGACAGTGCTTTAAGAAAAATGAGTCTCCGGGTTAGGTGTAAAAAAGTCTTGATATCCTCTAGCCTGCACTGTTTGCATCCTACTGCTTTGTCTGTTTTAGATAAGCCGAACCTTTTCGGCAAATATTTCGCTTAATTAAATAAATAATCGCATGATTACGGCGAGCCTGCAGATAAAAAGATTTCCATGTGAAGTAAATTTTTTTGTAATTTTAAAAGTATTACTAAAAAGGTAGGAGTATTTCTGATATCTTTAGAAAGCAACATTAAAAATTATATTTATAATTTCCGATAGAGCACGGAGTGACAAAAAAAAATTGTTTTTAAAATTGTCATGATCATCAAATTTCACTTTGAATTTTGCTTTAAGGAATTTGCCGAAGAGTTGGATTCACCTTTTATTAAGGTAAAAATGTTTTTTTTTTCAATATTTAAAAATCAAATTCAAAAGTTATTTTTTCCTTTCTTTACTGAACAATATAAAGACTGGGATAAGCCGGAAACTAGAACCGGAAGTGCCGGAAGTTCCCTTTGTTTCATCGCTAAAGAAGACGACCTCAGAGACTTCCAGCCAGAAAAAGTAAGTCTTGATAATTGTGGTTATAATAAAGGTGGATTAGGAATAAATAGAAAATGCTATGAGACCATTATATCTAAGGATTTTAATTTTCAATTTTTTGCGTGTAAATTTAAAATCTTCGGTAATGTTTTTTCTTATTATTATATTTTTGGAATAATTTTGTTTTCTCAAATTTTATAGTCATTTAATTTTTTTAAAACTAAGTTTATAAAAATTATTAAAGAATACGGTTGAACGTCTGATAAATATATACATTAATACAGGAACTCGAAAACATCGGAACTCTTCTATTTTCTTTTAATAACGAAATGTTGCTAAAGATTTGTTTTTAATTTGCAACTGTTTTCCGGTTCTTATACTGAGTTGTTTTATATATGATTTGTTTAGTGTTGGTAGTGCTCTAGCGTCATTCATGAAATTCGACAGAAAATACTCTACATTAACCCAGGTAGGGATAATACTCTACACTAACCCAGGTAGGGATAATACTCTACACTAACCCAAGTAGGGATAATACTCTACACTAACCCAGGTAGGGATAATACTCTACAGTAACCCAGATAGGGATAATACTCTACACTAATCCAGGCAGGGATAATACTCTACAATAACCCAGGTAGGGATAATACTCTACAGTAACCTAGGTAGGGATAATACTCTACAGTAACCCAGGTAGGAATAATACTCTACACTAACCCAGGTAGGGATAATACTCTACATTAATCCAGGTAGGGATAATACTCTACACTAATCCAGGCAGGGATAATACTCTACATTAACCCAGGTAGGGATAATACTCTACATTAATCCAGGTAGGGATAATACTCTACACTAATCCAGGTATGGATAATAATCTACAGTAATCCAGGTAGAGATAATACTCTACACTAATCCAGGTAGGGATAATACTCTACAGTAACCCAGGTAGGGATAATACTCTTCACTAACCCAGGTAGGGATAATACTCTACAGTAACCCAGGTAGAGATAATACTCTAAACTAGCCCAGGTAGAGATAATTTTTACACTAAACCAGGTAGGGATAATACTTTACAGTAACCCAGGTAGGGATAATACTCTACATTAACCCAGGTAGGGATAATACTCTACAGTAACCCAGGTAGGGATAATACTCTACACTAACCCAGGTAGGGATAATACTCTACAAACTAGCCCAGTTATACTAACCCAGGTAATGATAATACTCTACAGTAACCCAGGTAGGGATAATACTCTACAGTAACCCAGGTAGGGATAATACTCTACAGTAACCCAGGTAGGGATAATATTCTACACTAATCCAGGCAGGGATAATACTCTACAGTAACCCTGGTAGGGATAATACTCTACAGTAACCCAGGTAGGGATACATACTCTACATTAACCCAGGTAGGGATAAAACTCTACAGTAACCCAGGTAGGGATAAAACTCTACAGTAACCCAGGTATGTATAATACTCTAAACTAGCCCAGTTATACTAACCCAGGTAATGATAATACTCTACAGTAACCCAGGTGGAGATAATTATTTACACTTACCCAGGTAGGGATAATTATAATAATTTTTAACATAATCAATTTACAAGATTAGGCAGAAATTAAACACAAAACTATTTTTCGTTAAGAATCCTAATTTGAGGTTGTGCAGGTAAACCCTGGTTCAGATACTGAGTCTGAGCCTATTATGTCCGAGGATGCGGCTCAAAGTCCATCAAAAATAGCCTCGGAGCTAGAGGACAAACACTTTCCCAGCAGGTACTTTTTTAATAGCTGGGCCGGGGCACTGTAAATTAAAAATCGATGAGAATTTGGCCAATTACTTCTTGAAAAAATTAGGGTCTGAAAAATTCCAAAATGCACCTGTCTAGGGCTACAAAAAAGTCTAAGTGAGTTAGAGTGGAACTTCATAGTTAATCCAGTCTTGAAAATTGATGCAACATTTAACACTGCAGTACGTATCGGTGTGGTGGGTTTCCTCTTATTTGCCTTGTCTGTTTCCCCCTGATCAAAATTTAAACAGTTTAAAGGATTGAATCTTGTTTTTGTGCGACCAAAAATAGGAAAAATTAAATAAACTTGCATTCAAATTAAATTTTCTAATCCGGTATCTTTAAAACCTGATGGTGTAAACATTTGACATAAGGATTTGAAAATTTGAGTTTAAAGCAAGTGTTCATGTTTATGTAAGTTTTACAAATTTACAAAAGGAATTGAGATTTTGCTATAAACTAAAATTTTGTAATCCCATCACCTTTGAAACCTGTTGGTGTAAACCTTAGATATTTTAAACTGAGATTATTTGATCTAACAGAATTCATAGTTTGAAATGTCTGGTCTACGACATCAGGTTTCAGAGATGAAGAAATTAGAAAATTAGAGTTTTTGGCAAGAACTTAGTTCCTTTATCATAAAAAAGCAAGAATAAAAAGAAAAGCGATTAAATCTAGTTTTATAAAGTTCAAAATATAATTTTAAATGGAAAGAATCAAGAAAGTTATACTTTATAGATGAAAATAAGGTTTTATTTATAAAAAGAGATACACAAATATTTATTTTTAGATTTACAATAAAGTTTACAATAAAGTTTACAATAAAGTTTACAATAAAGTTTTCAATAAAGTTTACAATAAAGTTTACAATAAAGTTTACAATAAAGTTTACAATAAAGTTTACAATAAAGTTTACGATAAAGTTTACAATAAAGAAAAACTTGTTTTGAAAAGTTAAAAAATTTAGATTTCACATTTTTTTACTTTTTATGTTTTGTTGCTTAACTTAAATAATTATTTTATCTATTTTTTGCTTTGTTTGCTAAGGTGTTGGCATCAGGGTAGGTTTTTAACTGATCAGGATAAAAAATTCCTCCCTTGAAATAAAATAGAAAAAGCATCCTATCGCTTCCAATGTAAGTAGAGTTCACTTGCGTGTAATTGCGAGCCCTTTAATTCTGCGCAATTCCACGCAATTTCGTACAATTCCGCGCAACGGAATTCCTATTGAAAACCCTACTACCAACCAAGCATGATTAAAACCCTCATACATTTAATGGTTTACCGCAGGAGAAGGAGAATTTCTTCAACGTCTAGTGCAGGGAAGGGAAGAACCAGTTTAGGTAATATAAACAGTTTTGGAATAACATTTTTATTCACGTTTTGTTCTGTTTAAAAGGTAAATTTAATGTGAAACAAATTGTTGATTGATTTTTTTTCAATGTTTAAAAAAAATGTCTTTCCATTTTTATTGCATTTTTTGTGTAGTGTGCTATTCAGTATAATCCATTTTCAAGTTCCAGGAATAAAATATCTATTCCATTTTTGCGCCCCTCATCTCGGAGTTCCAGGAAATCTAGCACAAGTCCCAGGAATATACTATTTAATTCAGGTTTGTCACCCTCCCCTCGGAGTTCCAGGAAATCAAGTACAAGTCTCAGGAATATACTATTTAATCCAAGTTTGTCCCCCTCCCCTCGGAGTTCCAGGAAATCAAGTACTAGTCCCGGGAATATAATATTTATTCCAGGTTTGTCCCCCTCCCCTCGGAGTTCCAGGAAATTAAGTACTAGTCCCAGGAATATAATATTTATTCCAGGTTTGTCCCCCTCCCTTCGGAGTTCCAGGAAATCAAGTACTAGTCCCAGGAATATAATATTTATTCCAGGTTTGTCCCCCTCCCCTCGGAGTTCCAGGAAATCTAGTACAAGTCCCAGGAATAACAGGAACAAACTTCATCTCAACGTAGGAATAGGTATTGCAGCGCATACTTTTTGATTCGTTTTTAAAATTATATTTTTGGTTTTCACTAGGCCCCTCCAAATCTGAATAATCTGCCTTATTACAAAGGAATTGAGGCTTTGCCATAAACTCTGATTTTTTAATCCCTATATTTTTGCATTTGAATGTTGTATACCTTTAGATATTTCAAACTATAAATTCTGTAAGATCATATAATTTAAGTTTGAAATATCAAAGGTTTCATCCATTAGATTGCAAGGATATAGGGATTAGAAATTTTTTGTTTGTGGCAAAGACTCAATTCCTTTATATTCAACAAGATTCTATTTTATTGAATTATGAAAACTGTTGACTCTATAGAGCTCTAACGAACCAAACCCATTTGGTCGGTTTCGAACGATTTGAAATATCTTTCAAGTTTTTAGCGTCTACCATAGTTCTGATTCTTAGCTTATCTCTCCTGTTTCAGCTCGGAAGGTTAGCAATGAGTCAATGATTACTGCAACTCCGATACCAACAATATCAGAGATTTCTGATATCCAATCCAGATCTTTATCCCCTCGTTCTCCACTCCTGGATATCATCAATCTCAGGGATATCAGGTTGGATACTTTTATCTCAGGGATATCAGGTTGGATACTTTTATCTCAGGGATATCAGGTTGGATACTTTTATCTCTGGAATATCAGAGGTCGAATTTGAGCCGCGGCTTAAATCCGCCAAAACCTGGTTTAAATTAAGCGCCGGCTTAAATCTTGAAACATTTGATACAATTTTAAGTGGAACCAACCATATTTAAGCCGTGGCTTAAATTTAAGCCGCCGCTCAAATTCTTTAAATTCGGCCTCAGGTTGGATACTTTTATCTCAGGGATATTAGGTTGGATACTTTTCTCGCAAGGATATCAGGTTGGATACTTTTCTCTCAAGGATATCAGGTTGGATACTTTTATCTCTGGAATATAAAGTTGGATACTTTAATCTCTGGAATATCAGGTTTGATACTTTTATTTCCGGGATATCAGGTTGGATACTTCTCTCTCAAGGATATCAGGTTAGATACTTATATCTCTGGAATATCAAGTTGGATACTTTTATCTCCGGTATATCAGGTTAGATACTTTTTTCTCAAGGATATCAGGTTGGATGATTTTCTCAAAAGGATATCAGGTTGGATACTTTATCTGTGGAATATCAAGTTGGATACTTTTATCTCCGAAATATCAGGTTGGATACATTTCTCTCTAATTGATATCAGGTTGGATACTTTTCTCTTAAGTATATCAGGTTGGATACTTTTATCTCAAAGATATCAGGTTGTATACAATTTTATCTCTGGGATATCATGTTGTATACTTTTATATCCGGGATATCAGGTTTGATACTTTTCTCTCAAGGATATTAGGTTGGATACTTTTATCTCCGGGATATCAGGTTGGGTACTTTTGTCTCAAGGATATCAGGTTGAATACTTTTCTCTCGAGGATATCATGTGAGATACTTTTATCTCAAGAATAGCACGTTGGATATTTTTATCTCTGGAATATCAGGTTGGATACTTTTCTCTCAAGGATATCAGGTTGGATACTTTATCTCTGAAATATCAGGTTGGATACTTTTAACTCAGATTGAAAATGAAATTTTGATCGTTTCTTTTCGCAGTGATAAAGTAAAAAATTGGGACAGAACTCGACTCAAAGCGAGTTTAGTTGAGCTTTATATTATCTTTTGATCATTTAGTGAAGTGCTTGATGAACTAAAACCTGATGAGGATCTTCAAGATGAAGATAGTATTGTTGATGGCGAAGATGTTGTTGTAATAGATGTTGCAAAATCTCCAGATGTTTCAACCCAGGTTGAGATATTCAACCCATCACCTGCTAGAGGTCAGGATTCAACAACTTTTAACTTTTTCTAAATTCTGTCTTTCATGTATTTTTTTTTTACAAATCCGCATATGAAAGATATAAAGTTGTATTAATCAAATTTTTGTTGCATGGGTGGACTTTGAAAAACATCAAAACATTACAGCAGCCAAAAATTGTGAAATATGCGTCATGTTATTTTTTTTTAATTATAAACTTGTCGCAAAGGATTTTGTAATGAACTGAAATTAATTTATTTTCAAATATTTCTCTGAAAAGAAGAGTTTCTGGTTACTTACATACACTTTAAAGAGACTGTTTAGGAAAAATGAAAGGGAGTTAAGGCGGAAACCTAAGCATTATAGGATTAGATTGCGACCTATATGAGTTCTATCTGATCCTGTCTCGAGAGATTGATACAAAACTGTGTCGACGTTATTCCAAAACTTGTATATATGAGATGTGGTATATGATTCAAAGCTTTAAAAAATCATATTCAGCAAATACGCAACTAATCTAAAAATTATTATAACCCAAAGGAGCCTAAACAGCTTAGGTACGCTTCTATTATAATTTGAATATATAAATATTACTTAAATTAATTTTTAATAGATATAATTGATTCGTATCACCTGACCATAATTTTTACCAATGGCAGTGCAGTATCATTGTCACGTACCACCGCCTTTCATTTTTCCTTAACAGTCCCTTTAACTTGAGCTGCATTGATTGCTTCTCTTTAAGTCGGAGAAGCAGAGAAAAATCCTTTCATCTTCAGCGCTGAGAAAAGAAAAGCAAGTATTGATCATGGTTCGGAACCAAAATCAGAAATAGGAAGGAAAAGGTTTGTTACATAACGTCTACATATTATATAGCATGTATTAAAGAACATACTTTGGAATAAAGTTTTTCTAACTTCTATATGGATTTTATGACCTGTTCATGCTAATTCTGAAGTAGTTTAACAAGGATCAGTTAATTTAACTACTACTGATTACCGTTAGATCTGAACTTTACCCTCTAGTTGACAATTTGTACCAAGTTCAACTTCCTATCCCTATTAATAAACTCCCAAAATTTCCAGAGATATATTAGTCATAACATCAATTCGGGGACCTTTATATTCAAAAGAATGAACTCAGACGAAAATAATTCTGATCTTAATCACATGAATTTTCTAAATTAATTAAATCTCTTTTTTAAGAAGAGAAGACAGCAATAAAAGAAAATCTGAAATTCAGCAGAAGGAGTCTGCTGAAAGTTCAAGATCAGAGCAGATTAAAAATATAATTCTAGCATCTTTAGAACCAGAGGATACAGAGGCTACAGAGGAATCACAAACATTAAAAGATTCAACTATATCAGAACAACAGATAAAGGAGAAAAAAGAGAAGTGTTCTCCCAAGAAGAAGAAAAAAAGAGTCTCTGAGAGATTTGAAGAGAGTCCCAGCTGTTACTACTGTAAGCGCCTCTGTAGCTTTCATCGACAAGAGGTTTTATCTGGACAGAAACCAACAGCAACAACAGTACTAGGTTTTCAACAGCCCTCAACAACATCACAGTTTCAGCAAAATATTCCGCGGCTTCAGAGATATAATTCTACAGCGGATATATCTGTTCAAGCCGGTACAAAATTAAATTAAAACAATTTTTTCCTTTTCTAAAAACGACTGCATAAGATTTTTGATTTATTTAGGGAAACCAACGCTGCATCATTATCTTTTTGATCCTACCCTGGATGCAACATTTGAACCTCCTGGAGAACCTAGAGATCAGCTGATTAATCAGCTGACTCAATCAGCTGCTGCTGAGAGCGTGATTAAACTGATGAAGAGTCAGCTGGATCTAACTGAGAAACATCTCAGGTTTGGAATGTTTAAAATGTGTCTGCAGAACTTTTATAAATACTTTTAAAGGGAACTGAGTTTTCGCCACAAAATCAAATTATACTCCCTATAACTTGATGGTATTCAACAATTATAATTCAACAAAATTCATTGTTTGAAATATCAAAGGTCTACGATATTAGGTTACAAAGATATGGGGATTAACAAATCAGAGTTTGTGCCAAAAAATCAGTTCCTTTTTGAATTTCTAATTTAAAAAAAAGTAACCTTTACTAATTTTGAAGACTTTTGAAAAAAGGAATTGAGTCATTGACAGTTGACACAAACTTAAATTTTCTATAAAACCCTACCTACATCTTTAAAATCTGAATTGTTAACCTTTGATATTTTAAACTTAGATTATTTGAACAGAATTCATTATTTAAAATATCTAAGATATTGATTGCAAAGATATAGGGATTAGCAAATCAGAATTTGTGGCAAAGACCTATTTCCTACATTCAAAAGTTCTCAAATTCCTTAATTAGAATGCATGTCATTGCATGCCCTTTCTTTTGACTAAAAGTATAAAAATAAGATAATTTTACTATTGTAGTTTCATTCATAGATGTAAAAACTTTTGTGTTGTGAATCCCAGGATTTACTTGTCTTAAAGGGACTGACCGGCTATGTATGGTAGTTGAACTGAGAATGTAGCATTATGGAGAAATATTTTAGGATTCATTTGAAACATATAAAACGTTTTAATGACGTATAGTTACTGAGTTTGAGCGCAAAGTCATCCATGTCTCAAATATTCTTTGTCGGAATCCAGCTAATGTTGTTCATTGTTTTTGGTCGTTTAATTTTAATTTGATAACTTTCAAGATTTCAAAACTGTATTATGTTAAACTTTGCAATATCTTTATTCTAAACAAATTTGAAAAACTATACAAACACGATTGTCACATCACATTCGTTTTTGCATCGTTTGGAATAGTTTTGGGTCGTTTTTTTATTGCATATATACATTTTCAGGCCGGTCATTATTTGACATAGTGTAAGAAAAGCAAATGTTTAAAATTAACCATTGTAAAACGTACTCCTTTTACACTTTGCCAAATTTTGGCCTTAAAAGAAAATATAGACAAAAAAACGGCCTAAAAACGATCAAAAAACGACCTAAAACGACCTATAAACGATAAAAAAAAACTGTCTAAAAACGACCTAAAAACGATCAAAAAACGATTCAATTACGAACGTATTGTAACAATCGTTTTTTGATCGTGTTTCCATTTTTAAATTAAGGGATCTAGAAATTGTGGATTTAGAGCATGCTTTTCAAACAACTCTTTACTACTTGCTAGTTTTTTTCTTTTTTTCCAGCTTTACTCTTCTCGGGTTGAGATGTGTATATTTAGTGTAAATAATGTAAATAAGCTGAAACTGACCAGGTCCAGATGTTCTATTATCTAATATAATATTGTATTATTGTAAACTGTCTAATACACTACGCTTCTCAATACAGTATAGCGGGTGTATATTCATTTGTGACTTTTTGTGAATTTTAAAGTAACTGTCCTCTCGAAGTCACGATAAAAAAATAATTGGAAAAAAATACCACAACCTTAACAAAAAGCTTTAAATGCCTACTACAAAATTGTGTTTTTTTTTTCTCTCCGTTTAACCTAACTTGCTAAATAATAACATAATTTGATTTGGTATAAAAACTTGATTGAACAAAGAATTAAGAATTTTCTTTATTTTCAAGGATTCAGAAAGATTTATACACACAGTACTGTAGGAATCTTGAGTTGGTTTCTAGGTAAGGGTTTTATTAATTCTTTAAACTTTAATGCCAATTTCATTAGAAACTATGTTTGTTATTTTTATCTTTATTATTAAAACATTATAATTTGTTACTAATAATTTTTAATTACTAATAAAAATTACTTTAATTACTAATAATTGATCAACAGTTTTTTATTTGAAAGATCTCGTGTGCATGAGAATCCTGGAGAGAAAATCCTGTATGGAAGGAATGGAAGGAATGGAAGGAGTGAAAGGAGTGAAAGATTTCCCGGATCCAGGTTGACCTACAGCGAGGCCGTCCGGCTAGTCAAACAGGAGATGGATCGGGAGAAAGACGACCTTCAAGGTATCCCTGTATCTGAAGGAGGTAGGAGAGAGAAACCAAGGAAATGGAAAAAAGGAGAAGAATCTGATATAAAAGAAAATATCTGCTCGGAGAACAACAGAACCCGGAAAGAGAAAGAAAATGGCGCTAGGGAACAGACGAATATTACAGGTTTACATGGAAAACAAAATGTCGGATGGGAGACAGAAAATGAAAGTTTGGAGGAAGTTCTTGAAGAGTACAACGATGACTTTGAGACGGATTCAGAGATTCAAACGGAAACCTAGCAGTATTATTCTCAAGTAGCTCAAGTGCCTGGCGTTGCCTGTGAAAGAAAATTTGAATTTTGAAAAAAATGTTTGATTTTTGAAGAATCTTATTTTTGATTGTTGAAGAAAAAAAGGTCGAAATATGATTTGTAAGTTTTATAAACTTTGTTGTGTACATCTATTTAAAAAGCTTTCATGAATTGTTTTCGTAGGTGAAATAAATTGTGTTTTCTTAAATTTTTTTCTTCATGATGCATTGTCTCTTTTGAGACAATGCATCATTTATCAAGAATTTTAATAACCAAAAAGTCTTTACATTTATAAAGATTTCCTCTCATTCAATAAAAAAGACTCTGAAATAATTTAAGAAAGTAAATCATAAAATTTTAAATAAATGCAATAAAAGGAGATAATTCTCTTTTAAATAATATCATCTTTAAATTAAATTTGAACTAAAAAATCATATTTGGTTCAGAATATGTTTATTAAAGAATATTTTCTCAGCAAAATTGGTAGAAAAATGTTGTTTTGTTGTGTATCTGGGGACCTGTTGTGTATCTGGGGACCGAAATTAATAAATTTGAGCTACGTCTCTGAACTAACTATTGTCGGTTCTAATTTGATGTGAAAGATTCAGAAAGGATTTTAACCTGTGGCGTTTAGGCAGTTCATTCATTGAATTTGGTCCCGCCGCGGGTTATTAAATGATTTTTAAAAATTTTTATATTGTGAGCAAACCTCCAGAATTATCCAGACTCGATATTGTCTAAAGAGTTTTTGGTCTAATCATCATCTTGTGTAGCAATTATTGAACGTAAAAAAGTTTTAAAGTATACAAAAGAATCATGATATTTTTATGCACTTCCAGTTCAACTACCAAAACAAGCCATCCACTTCTCTTTAAATTTACTTAATTTTTAAAATAGCATTCCATATTTTACTTTGAAAATCCTTTTTAAAATTGACTGTTTTTGTTTATCTGTGATAAGAAGAATTTCATTTATTTTTACAAGTTCACGCCATAGTTATTTTCCCATTTGTTAAATTCTAACTGAATTCTTAAATCTAAGAAAACTAATTTATATTTTCAGGGTTTAAAATTTAGAAAATAATAGAGTGCAGTCAAATGCAGGTTAGGCCCGCCTTGTGCAATTCAGAACATATTGTCACTTTGTCATCATTTGTCTTCAGTTGCAGTTTAAAGAAAATACGTTTGTCTTATTAAATGCAGTTCTGTGTAGGCAATTAGGTTTCTTTATACGTCACATTTTGAAACATTTCTTCTCTTTGTCAAAAACTGACCAATTTTTTTTAGTTTTATTCTGAAACGTTTTATTATACATTCTCCTTGCGAACAATCTAAGTCAATCAGAATGCATTGCTCCTAAAAGATTAAAAACTTAACTTAAAACAAAACCTGTACAGTGTGCAGTGTACAGTGTGCAGTGTGCAGTGTGCAGTGTGCTGTGTGCAGTGTGCTGTGTGCAGCTTTGAAATGTTGATCCAGGGCTTCAACAAAGTATTATTAGATAGGTGAGGTCAACCTACTCTGCATTTATTAGAAAAAGAAATCTGATCATTCTGCAAACCCTTTAGATCTGATGAACCTAAGAATCTTATAATCTTATTTATAAAAATAGAATCAAGACTCAATTAAAATTAAGTGCAACGTTTTCATTTTTGAAGTAAAAAAGTTTAACCATAATTCCATAATGCCAAACTCTTAGCCATGGCAGACTTTCAAGTGAATTTGCTGGCTTAATTAAATTCAAATACCCGAATTAAAATAATATACAAATATAAATCCTCCATCTAAAGACAACCGTACTGTGAAAAGAACATTTGCATTGATTGTTTTCAAAGGGAATCTTCACATTTTCAGTTTTTCATTTAGGTTTTAAAATTGTGCAAATGTTTACGCATATCAAAATTTTCTGGGTCAAGGGCTTTTCAAAAGTATATAATATTTTACAATTTTGAGCAACTTTTTGCACCATTTTTTGCTGCATAACTAGATTTTGCAATATATATTTGGATTTTTGACTTAGAGCTCAAGGGCTTTCCAGGAACGTATTAAATGTTGAAGATTTGTATCTCAATGAGAAAATAGAAAATTTAACCCCTTCCCCTGGTATGTAAACCAGACGTCAGGCTAAATAGGGTTAATTTGACTATTTAATCTACTATCGACCATAGGTGTACGACATCCAGTTGCAAAGATTTACGGATTAGAGTTTGTGGTTACTGGTAAGTGTTCATTTCCTTTAACGTAATATTTCAATTTCTAAGAGTAAAATTTCAAGCAATAATTATTGATTTTGCAATATAATATTGTGATTTGTCACGTAGTAATTAATAAATAATTTGATGTGATTTTTAAAGGTTAATTTATCCAAAAATTACCAGATCTCAAATGCATTTCAAGATTTAAGATGCTGAGACCAATAAAAGGTTAATAAAAGTTTTGCCTTATTCAGTCTGCATGTACTGTACTGTACTGCATGTACTGTACAGCTTGCTCTAGTTGCTTAAAATTCGGACCGGTACTTGAAATCAACCAGAGTTTACAGTTAAGTGGATGAAGTTTGGTTATGAGGATTCGTTTTATGGTCGATTTCTGCCTATATTTGGAATAAAGAAAGGGTAGCAAATGTTTGTTAAATTTCTTTTTTTCCTTATATATTAAATTTTTACCTTAACAGCAGATATAGGCAAAAAAAAACGACTTAAAACGACTGAAAACGAACGTGTTGTAAAGATAGTTTTTGGATCGATTTATCAAATTTTTTTGTTTATGATAAAGATTTTGCAAAGTTTAATAAAAACAAACCTTAACATTATACAGTTTTTAGATGATAGAAGTTTTATTGAATTAAAAAATTTATACAGTTTTTAGAATTAAAAAACGATTTAAAACGATTAACAACACCAAGAGTGGCCCATTTAGTTCTCTTTAACTTGATAGTGTACTTCTAAAGAGTTGCAAAACGTTTCTTTGAAGTTATGTTAGTGTTTAATAATCTAAATTCATATCTATACAGTCTCGTGTGCAGACTGCAGACTGCAGACCCCTGAGTCTTGTTTTGTTTACAGATCAGTCTACAAGTTTTAAACTGCATTTAGTGTTTATTTGGCGGGGATTATTTCCCTCCATTCCATGTTCGGAACATTATGTCCAAGTTTGGAACATGAAGTCCAAGTTTGGAACATGAGGTCCAAGTTTGGAACATGAGGTCCAAGTTTGGAACATGAGGTCCAAGTTTGGAACATGAGGTCCAAGTTTTGTGCATGAGGTACAAGTTTGGAACATGAGTTCCAAGTTTGCTGCATGAGGTCCAAATTTGGTACATGAGGTCCAAGTTTGGAACATTAGGTCCAAGTTTGGAACATGAGGTCCAAGTTTGGAACATGAGGTCCAAGTTTGGTGCATGAGGCCTGGTTTAAAGGAACTGTATAATTTCAAATGACCACCTTGCAAGATGACAATGTTTAATTCACTGCGGCAAGGGTGTAATGCAAGGAAAGTCAATTGCGGAAGTGTAAACTCTGTGTTTACATATTGAAACCAGTTCTCTCTGGGCGGAATTTGTAAACAATGGTAGATGCATCAGTGTTCGTTTAGTATCCGAGGAGGTTAAAAGCATTAAATTTTGATAATTTTGATAATTCACATAATAGTTTCCTATGACCAGAATATTTCATTGATTTTTTTTATGTAAAAGATGGGATCCCATGTCAGGCTTCGACATCCGTCTTGTGTTTACATTAGCGCCCAGAGACAGTACACTGCAGTACAAAAGATGTGTACACTTCTGAAATAACTTTCCTTGCATTACATTCTTGCACTGCCGTATCCTTGAAACCTTTATCTGATCAATAATGTGAAAGATATTGTCGTTTTTCTTGGTTTTAAAGTGTTTATTTCTGCAGTGGATACAGGCAAGTCACTTTTATAGAAACAACTATTGAAAATAATCAGTTTTCAAAATTATAAACATTAATATCTTATTCATACTTAATTAAACAAAACTTTTACGAGTGCAGCTGTGAATCGGGAATTGCAAGGGTGTCCCTTGAAATCACGCTTCAGTCCCTTTGAGATCTTTTTTATTTTAAAACTTTGACAATGTCCAGCAGAATTCAGAATTTGGGTTGAAACCTCAAAGATTTTCACAATCATGTTGCAAATTTATAAGCATTATTATAAGTTCGAGTTTGCGGAAAATAATCAGTCCTTGTGCATTTCTGAAATTGTTGAAAATTTGAAATATTTTCAAATATTTCAGAATTTTGTAAAATTATTAGTTTCGTTAGAAGTACACGCTTATTAGAATATTGCTAATTTTATATCATCTAAGTTAAAATAGTGTGCGACAAAATATATAAAATGATGCCGAATTTAAAGTATTTGAGCCGCGGCTTAAATTTAAAATCGTAATTAAAATCGTATTAAATGTTTCAAGATTTAAGCCGGCGCTCAATTAAAACCGGTTTTTTTGCCGGATTTAAGACGCGGCTTAGATTCATTAAATTCGGACAATGTTTACCTAATCCCACAATCCTTATTTTATATTATTACTTACATAATGTTACATTCACATGCATACACATATCTCATCAATATTTAAAGGGAGTGACCGGCAATGTATGGTGGTTGAACTGAGATTGCAGTATTATTGAGAAATATTTTAGGATTCATTTGAGACCTATTTGATGTTTTTACGGTGCATATTAGTTCACTTAGAGTGCAAATTCAATTTTTAAAATCCTCATTGATTGTCTATTTTGGAGGGATGATTTTAAGAATCGGTTTTTTTTAAATTATTCATGATGACGACCACGAAAAATGTAACAAAAAATCCGACAGTAAATTAATTAGTTGCTTAGGAAAAGATTAAGAAAATAAAAATTAACTCTTATCATCTAAAACAAGTAATCTTATTCAGTTATTGGTTTCTGTAATGTCTGAATGTTCAAAACCAATTTCTGTAGATTTCCTGAAATTTTAAGTGAAAAGACGACATTTGAAGAGTTTAAATGAATTGCGAACAACTTGATAAAGAA